AACAAAACACAATATCAGTATCACTGAGTATGATTTGTATTAGGAATTCGCATCTCCTAGCACTGACTGAGGCATTTTTTAAAAAAAAGCTTCAGAAACTATGTTGTATGCTCTTGTATCACTGAGTTTCTCAATGTCTGATAGCTTTTGAAGGAAGCTACAGGATTTTTTCTAACTCTAACACTTTAATAAGTAATTAAAACTGTGACCTTTGAAAAAGGGTGTCAAGATCTCAGAAGGTTTTAAGAGGGGAGATAAGTCTAGTTGTACTTCATGATTTATATTGGTTGAGGGTATTTCATCATGAAATGGTATTTTTATTGCCCAATGAGTGGATAAAGCAATTATTTTGGGGGATAAATGCAGTCTGTTCTCTTTATGACATAGATTCTGACAGTATGAGGTTATCTTCCTCCCAAGCTTTTATAGAACTGTACAGACAAAAGCATGACACCTTATTGATGTACACCCTACACCTTATGGGGGTCCCTGCTGTATTTATACCATCCCACACAAACAGGAAGTCATTACAGCGATGATTACACCCTCTATACACCTGTCAGAGAATAACGTCAAATCCAGGCTCAAGGGGTGATCTGATAAATTCTTGTTTCTTGTAATGGCAGACAAAAAAGATGTCTTCATCTGCAAAGAGATGTTCTGTTTGCCCAAAGATGCTGATTGATTATGACAGCTCGAGATAAAAAGACATATTCCGTGAACTATGAAGCAAAAGTCGTAGGACTTTCATGTTTGATAACTTTTATGCACATTTATTTGAAGATCTTTGATGTTTTTCATAGCTTAGCATCTGGTACATATATTTCTTTAGGATTTTTTTTTCAAATATCTCAGATATTTAGTACACACATGAATAATGATTCTATCAGATCTTTTTTTTCCAGATGAGTTTTGCATCTCAAATGACTCACAAAATGAGTTCAACTGCTCAAGTCATATTGGATACCAACTACCAAGTGTGTAAACAGTATATTTGATCGAAAGTTCATTGAAATATTGTAGTTTTTTTATGAAGAGCGGTTGAACTCCCTGATATAGGTGAACATTCCAATGATGTTGCTTAGCAGAGAATTTCAATTCTTATTATAGGTGGAACCCAAAAAATCTGTCAGTGCAATTATCAGTTCAGAAAATAAACGAGTTATGAAATCTTCTTGAACTTGAATGGTCTGAAAAAGAGAAAGTATAAGAGTAATAAACTGGAAAAGTATGAAGCTCCTATCTGCACTGTTTGGTATCTAAGCATTGTCTCCATCTCTGTATGGTTTCCTAGCAGGATCAGACAGCAGAAAGTGCAGGAACTAGGGATCATATCCCACATTCCAACATTCTTGTTATCAAGCAAAACTTTCTTGTTCTTCTTGTAAGTTGTCACACTAAAACCACATTTTCCTAACAGACAGGTTAACTGCGTGGTTAAAAAAAAAATAGAGAAGCGGAAACAATTTTTGTTGACTGTTGTCTGAAATCAAACATGGCATTTCAGGATGTTTAGTTCTCTATAGATAGACAAAGGAGTGTTTTTTTTAAGTTTTAAGATTGATTGCATGGGTAGAGGAGGGGATCAAGTGCATGTTTGTTGCTAAAAAAAAATTCCTGATGATACCTTTGATTTACTAAATGAATGAAGTGAGGCACTCATCTGTTATCTGTATGTAGTGATGGTGTATTCAGTATTGTAGCATGTTCATATCATCAGAATTCATCATTACCAGCGAGTTTCCTTGACTATTTTTATAGAAGTGCAAGTGATTGTTCTTTGGAAATGCTATGCAACAGGATACGCAGGAACAAAGACTGATAAGATTTATCTTTACCATCCAGCACTTGCTTTCAGTGTATAAATGTTACTTATAGGAAAAGAGTAGCAAGGCTTTTTTTTTCAAAATAGAAAGACAAAGAAACTTCGCAGTGTTTCCTTCTATATGATCGCTTCAGATACCAGTAACATACTGTGTAATCTTTCCAGTAGAAAGATGTACTAAATAAATACTAAATAATATTCTTATGAGAATTAATCAGATAATTCATTGAACAGTGTAACTAAAATTTAAATAACTAACAGTAGTTGTAATTGACAATCAAATGATTGAAATGTTTATAAAATCAGAAAGGAAGTTATACATTTTCTCTTCTTAGAACTTTAACTTGGAAACACAACAAAGGCTGCGACGTGTGTTTTTATAAGTGGAGAGACTTTAGAATACAATTTCAGCAAATTCTTTATGAATTATAACTAATCTGCTACACAGAGATGGTAAATTACTGAACTGAACTGAGTTTATATTGATCTCATCACAATTCAACAATTGAACACATGTATTTACATAGAAAAAACTTTGGCAACATAATTCAGAAAGTCTTGTAGCATGCATAGCTGCCATGCATGAATATGAAGATTGACAAAATATCACAATTATAGATATTGTGGAGCATATTTTAATATTTTTAATAATTGACAATTTTCTTAAAAAAGGATTGCTTGTTTGAATTCATTATTTCTCTAAATGTAAAAGTATTCTAAATCATATTTGCTTTGGTGTTAAACATTAATCTTTTCTTTCATTCATTAGGGTTGTGCAGTATAAAACAGAGTGAAATGCACTGTCAGTTTCATGATAAAATTACATTTTTTACATAATACTCCCGTTTCTCTCCATTCATTTACCCAGCATCCACTTTCAAGTGATGATTATACAGATATAAAAATGTGAATTCTGGCATCTGATCCCTTAAGGCCACTTGCTACAACAAACTTTTTTCAAAAAATCATGAAATTGTACTCTATATATTACCAGTAGATCAATGTTTATATAAGTAAAATGAATAAGCTTAACCACATGTTTAAATTTTTATTCAAGATTTCTGAGTGGTGTCCTATAAAGTGATACAAATATTGTAAAGAACTATCAGGGGAATGGCAAAAAGTGAAAATTTTGAACATCAATATGATCATAGAAATTTTACAATTTCTTAATATTTTAGGGATTTGATGTATCCATTTTTTTTAATTTGTAGCAAATGTCCTTCAGATTTGTTATAACTGAGTTTAACAATTCTTTGAACGTGTCAATTCATAGACAATCAAGTGTATGAAATAGTTTCATAAAACTTCAAACACATAAGGATTGCAATCACAACATACAAATTCTGCACAATGTTCATATTTTTGCTGAAGATCTTGCGAGGGTGAGACTTTTTTTCAGTTAGAGTATACATTTTAAGGTGTTTTCATGAATGGTAAGTTACTAGGCACACATTGCCATATTATTGTGTTTTGGTTATAATCTAACTAAACATCCGTGTCATACAGGACCATTTTATTCATTGTTAGCGTAGCTGTAAAGTCCTGTAGAAATGCCTACCCCTGCAGGTGTTAGTAAATTTTATACAACATTGGGCCATTCAGCATTTTTGAAATACAAATTTCCCTTTCACTTAAAAGCTCAGTTCTTTTCTACTTCTACAACAAGGGGTTTACATTTCATACTTAATATTGACTTTCATAAAAAAAAACCCTCAAGACAACAAATCAAATGGCCAGGTAATGTAAGGCCATTCTATTCTTACAGGAATTAATTATAGAACCAGTTAAATATTTGATGCTATAAAGGGTCATGTAAATATATAAACCAACCTTTCAAGGTTAATTTTTCTCTTGGCTGATAGTGGTTATTGATCTGATAAGACTTTCAAGAAAAAAACAAGAATTGACATGCATTCCAATGCAAGTCTGAGACACTAGTTAAATATTGTTGAGAACAACTGAAATATTTCTAACACATGAAAAGTTTTGCAAGTTTTAAACTTGTACACACAGGAAAACAAATGAGATTCAAATCAAGAGAATTTGGTGAGGGGGAGGCAAGGGAGACTGCATGAATTTCTTAATGTTTGGGGATTCATTGACCAGTTCTGTTGATGAAATGATTATTATAATTATGCTGTACAATCTTGCAATGCATCTGAAGTTAGTACAAAGAAAATTCTGATAATATCAATATGCACTGTATATGAATTAAACCGATGCCCCTTGGATTCAGTAAGGGGTGATATCTTCAGTAAATGAAATATATATATTTTCAATTTTGTACTCAACTTTTTTTTTTTGGCTATTTTGGATGCATGTGTACCTGATATCCGAAGATTTGAGATATCTAGGGTAAAATACTAATGGAATAAGCGTTTGGGACTTTCAAATCACTTCAACATATCCATGGTATTCAAGATATCAGTGTTCAAGATACTGAAGTTCAAGTGTATTTGTTCTATTGATGAGTAAAAAAGTTATGATATTCTCTAACGTTGTAAGCATCTTCTTGCATGTGGTTAAGTGATATTGATAACCGTTAACAGATTTTGCACTAAAAACAGTTTTTCTAATTTTTATTCATGGATTTTTTAAAAGCAGCTGATAAGTGTTAAATGAATTTCTTGATTCATCTCTGACAGTTTTGATGCAAAATTCAAAACATTCCACAAGCCTGAGTAATGAGAACCTGTTATAGAAAACACAAAGATGAGGTTGTTTTAAGAATGGTGATGCCTCCCCAGCTGCCAATGATTGTCTGTATACTTGTTCTAATGTCTAGTAACAGGAGCATTGCCATGGAAACATACAGTAAACAAATGTTACTGTGCAGAAGCTCAGTGCTACACATTGTTCAAAAAAACTTGTAATTACTAGTAGTTGAATGACTGCAAATATTGACTGAGATGTTTTCATTGTACACTGCAAAATATATCTTATTTAAATACATTTTGTAGAAAAAGATCCCATATGACCTTCTCCTAAATGTATAAATGAACTGTAATTGGCATTTGGCAGGTCAAACATAACAGTACACTTGTCCATGTGTTTTTTCTCCCCCACAGAAACCCACTTCTAGCCACTGCGAACATCCTTCCAGCCTTACACACTATACAAATGATCCTAAACATACATATTCAGTAAGAATTTTATTCTTCTGTTTCTACAGATCAATCCTAACAGTAAGGCATATGTAGAAGGCATCAAAGTAGGGGACATTATAGAATCACTCAACGGACAGAAGACAGAAGGACTATTACACAATGATGTCCAGCAACTCATCAAGATTGCCAGTGGAGAGCTAGCACTAGAACTCAAAAAGTAAGTAAAGGATTGAAAATATAAGAAACATAATTATTTACCACTAAGGTACAAATCTGAAATAAAAAAGAATTGTGCACCAAGAAATAATGATAAAATGGAAAAAAAAAACATAAGTGCAAAAGGATGGCAACTGCCTTAGAAAAGTAATCTCAGAAAGATGGAAACTGCCAGAGAAAGATGGAAATGGCTTGAGAAACAGTAAGAATTGGATGGATTGCAGCTGCCTTACAAGCAGTGAGACTTAGATTAAGAAGCTGCCTTACAAACTGTAGGACTCAGAAAATGACAACTATCTTACTATACAGAAGGACTTGGCATGATAGAAACTGCTTTACAAAACAGCAGGACTCAGAAGGGTTGCTACTGCCTTACAAAATAGTAGGACTCAGAAGGATGGGTACTGCCTTACAAAACAGTAGGACTCAGAAGGATGGGTACTGCCTTACAAAACAGTAGGATTCAGAAGGATGGCTACTGTCTGGCATAGCAGTATAGGACTTTGAAGGATAAGCACTAGCTTACAAACATAGACTCAAAATAATAGAAACTGCCTTACAAGTGGTAGGACTCAGAAGATGACAACAGCCTTACAAACAGCAGAAGTGTGGTACAAGGATGGCAGGAAACAGTTGGATTCAGAAGGATAATAAAGTGAAAACTGTCTAATTTGACACTGTGCAATTTGTTCACTGTGAATTCCAACCTTTTTTACTGTTTTCCATGTTCTTCACATGATGTAATCCGACACCTTGTCTATTCAGACAAAAATTGGTCTCCCAGTGCATGTTGGATTACTCAAGTTTCACTGTATTAGATATAGATACAGTTTGACTAATAGACTTGGAGACAGCGACTGAGAAAGATATGCTTTTCAAAGAAACATTATGGCTCATGAGGAGGGTATAATAGTTACAAACAGTAAGATTAAGGACTGTTTCCATTTTCCCAAGAGTTTCTATCAATTTAACATTTTTTTTTTAAAGGAATGTTTCATAAAAATCAATACAACAATTTTGAAATTGAGAAAATGCATGCAATCATATTAAAATGATTGCACTCTAGCTGCATTGTACTATGAGCAATTGAACTATTATAGTAGTGTAGAAAATCACTGAATTGAGAGCAAATAAGACCATGCATTTGTGTATGTGTGCATCGTCTTTATGTGTAACCCATGGAAAGGGAGAAATTGAAATGGTCAATTAAGAATAACTGAGAATAATTCAGTCTTTGTGTACTGTCTTAAATGTTTGTTATTATTTGCTCATTATATACTTGGCAAGTAAAAAAGCTATGATGAAACAGGTCTGATCTGTATCATAGAATTAAATATAATGGTCAATTTACTAGATCTGAAAAAAAAATCCTAGTAAGGGCAAAACGCTTACACGTGTAAACGGCGACGTTTCGATTAAATGCTCGAAACTTTTACAAACTGAGTAAACGTTTACACGGAAGTCATTACTAATATCTATCAAAATTAAAGATAAATACAAGCAAGTTTTTTTTTTATTTCATAGTTGCCAAAGAAAACAATTTTCTGTTTTAATTGATACCAGAAACATGTTATTAAACAAAACTATCTAAAACCCAATACCGTCTAACATATTTAATTCCGATTTCCGAGTAGCGAATACTAACAATGTATTATGATTTTATTTTATTTTTTCAAGTATGAAACTTGATTTACTTTGATTAAATAAATATAAAACATTTTTACCAGTCTTTGAAAAGCAGTCAGCAGATCGCGGTATACTTAATTCAGGATTAAAATATCCATCTTTGCAAGTTTAAATTGAGTAATGACAATGCTTTTTCTACGTCCGGTATGTACCCAAACAAACTATTAATGCAATATTTGGTGACGGTATAGAAAGTGAATGAATTTTATGTGCTTCATATTCTTTAGTCTTAAAAACCAACAAATAAATAGTTATAACAACTCATACTTACATTAAAGTGAAAGAATAGAATATTGAATTAGTGTTTTATGAGTAAGTAACCATAAAAATTCAACACAGAATATTCTCCCTTTTAAATGATAGCGTTTCGTTTACTGCTGTTCATTTAAACGTTTACAAAATTCAGTAAACGTTTCACCCTTAAATCCTAGTACTTCTATTCCATAAAATTTAGGCATGGATGATGAAAAACAATATATATATGTACATGTATATATTTATATATTTGCAAAGTGCCTGCTGTATGTCCTTGCAGCAAAGACCCAAATGCTCATTTTTGTATTGATTGAAGGATGAACTAAGACTCTCTCAGTAGGACAGCTTTATGCTGTTTATCTTCACTCTGTACTTTAGAGAAAACAGGACAAAGAGCAGTATCATCTCAGATCTCTTCCTGGCATATAACAGGATGATCAATGGCTGGAAACATCCTTGAAACATTGACCATTAAATAAGAAAATTGACCCTTTCCTATCACGCAGTGTGTCATATCAAACAGTAATGGATACAGATTTGTAGGCTTTTGTCTTAGATTCATCCAGATTACCTGCTTTATTGGTTTGTTTTTATGCATTCCTTTTGAGTGATTTGAGGATAAGTGTTATCATTTGTCATGATTTATTTTGATTTAGGCCATTCCAAGTTTTTTCTATGTTTAGTGTCCGCGTGCGCCTTGGTTTTTGACACCCAATTTCAGGGGAAAAACGCAAATTCAAGAGTCCTGAAATTGATTATTCTGGTTGAAATCTTTGAATTCTGCCTATTTTTCTAAATATTTGTCTACAATGTGTCATATTAGGTATATTTTATACATTTAATACATTGATTTTGCAAAAGAATAGATTTTTCTACGAGAAAATAGATTAATGAAATCAAATCCTTCAAATGACATCATTTTTATGACTATAAAGTATATGTTTTATTTTTTGGCTTGTGTGTTTTTTGTGAATTTGTAGGTAGGTTTTTGAAAGAAGGGTGGATGCTAAACAGAGAAAAAACTTGGAAAGGCCTAAATATCTTGTATTAAATTAATTTAACAATTCTTAAATTTGTAATATTTTATTGATAATGAACTTGTATACAGGGAATTTACAGATATCTTGAACTGATTTTGTGTTCCTTAGAAGTTAAAAATAATGAAATTTAGATCTTCTAAAGATCTCAACTTGAAAATATTGATCTGGTATTTTTTTTGTAAATACTAATATTTGAAGTTCAATTCATTGGAAAACTTTTTGAACTTATGAAAGTATCTTTAGTGTTTAATACTTCCCAAAATACATTTGATAGTCACACTTGAAGAAAAAAAATGTATACTGCAAATTGGTTATATATACATGTACTTTAACAAATTTGTTATGTATATAATGAATTTTGAATATATCAAAGTAAAGAACTATATGCAGTATATGCATATGTTTGCCCCTGCAAAAGTGATATTTTGAAAATTTCTTGAAATGTGCTGAATTGTATATATTGTTTGAGAAATCTAAGTAAACAAAAAATATCATAGTTTCAAAGTAGGTCATTGGAAATTTTTGTTTCTATGACGTCACAAACTATTAAGATTTTGTGTTATTTTTTAGAAAGAGGAAAAAAAATGGACAAAATTATTTCAATTTTTACTATACAATTTATAGAGCGCTGCAGGCCTGCTCCATAACAATATTTACATATTTCATTGATATTATCATTCTACACATTATATCAAAATATTGAGTTGGAGCAGACCTGAGCTCGGTGACTTTTACTCAAAATATCTACGTAATATACACCTTTTTCTGTATAAATTATGGAAATTTTGAAATTTGATTTTGTCATTTTCCTGACATCATATCTAACATATGGTGTCATGGCATATGAAAATATTCAGTGATTTGAAGTCTGCAGATATCCCCCAGTTTTAGAACACAAGTGTATATTACTCCGTCAAAGTTTGATTTTGGGGGCAAATATTGGTCCTTACCGAATATAGTTCTTTGCAGGTCTCCAGGACTTTGCTATATCCGAGTTTTACTTTAGTGTATGTGGTATTGTGTGATTCATTGATCTAATATAGAAGATACATTTATTAGAATAAAACCATCTGTTACATTATCTGTCATTATTGTGTATGTGACTCAAGTGCCATTTATAATTTCAGATCTGGATCAGCAGTCATGAATGGTCAGATGAACGGAGACCTTCATAACCATTCTTTAGAGAATGTCTCAGGTATTTCTACTTATAGGGTAGCTGTTCTAGTTCAGAAAGTACAAGTTACTATCGAATCGTTCATGTGTAGTTCAGTTCTTTATTTGTAATTGTGTTAGATGTGTTTTGAAAATTTTTAAAATTTTGAACTTCTGTCACATGACTGGTGCTGTCATGGTGATAACCAATAAGGTGATAAGAAATTGCAATTTTAACTTCAGGGATTTTCCGAGCCACCCCACGATTGATCGTGGAGCCACAATGTAAGAACACATCCATGAGTGGCTTAATCTCTTAACTTTTGGCTTTAGCCTTTACAGACATACCTATTTTGGAGTGACTTGTACACTAAAAAGTCATCTTTCACAGATAGTAGTCTCATTTTCCCATGGACATCATGGCACTAGTACCTTTTCCCCACATTATTTCCAAGCTTTGTAGATTCATTCTAGGTATCACAGGACCATGCAGGAATTGCTTTATGGTATTAGCTAATTTTTGCAAGAAAGAGCTAGTGTATACAACGTATTTAGGTGTATCATAGCTCTAGTATATTTATATATCCTTGTATAAAGCTAGACTAGTTTATTATTAGGAATTTATACTGATATTATTAGCTTTTTGTTGTAAGTCTAGGATTACATTCTAGCTTTAATCAGAGCAGAGTCTTTTGATTCATTGAGGATCTAGTTGAAAATGCAGGAATGGATTCCAGAAAGGAAATGATGATCTCATAAATCATATATATATCAAAGTTTTTCATACCTCTTAAGGGCTATGATTGAATGATTGAATATCAGTAAGGATGTAAAATTTGAACACCTAGTATTAATACACAAATTATGTTGTTGTCACATCACCAACTAACTGTACCAGAAGTTTAGGCATCTACTCATTGAAAAACAAAGTTATACTGCTTGGTACAAATTTTATATCAGTATCAATATTTACGTACGATGTCACATATACTTTTCCTATGTACTTTTTGTCGGCAAAGAGTATTGACCTAACTCTTATATTTGTTCTTATTGAGAGTTACAAGACAGCATTATACACCTGTTTTAGAATTAATGAGTAATTCTGATAGTATATAGAGAATAATACATACCTTATTCCATACCGCACTCTGAATCAGTCCGAGACACCAATATCAGCAAGAGGGCCGAAGGCCCCAGGGGTGATATTGGTTGAGGGGTTTGATGCTGGGTTTGATATAGAAAAGGGTTTGAATTATTATATTTATTACTGTACGTGCTTAGTAATAACATGCAGAACGCATCTTCTTGAACAATTGAATAATCACTGACTAGTTTGTTATATAACAATAATTTAAAATCATCTGTAAAACTATATTTTAAGTAGAATATAAACTCAAAAATAAGTGTGATATCACAGTCACTGTTTTCAAGGTTTAATCTGCAATGGGTGTGATATCTGTATCAGCCCTGCAGATCCATATCAGCTCTTCAGGATTCAGATCAGCCCGGAAAAATGATAAGCTATTGTAAAGTACAATGTAAGCGGCATTACATATATGCGAAAATCCTGTATTTGTTACTAAGTATATAATAAAATTGTTTTTGGTATTTTATTTATAATCAGATTTTGCATGTGCTCTTCTTTATAAGGAAATGATGTTTTATTTCTTGATTATACTTTAAAATTTAACCACCTGTTAGTTAAAAACTGCATGCTTTGTGGTGGTGGCCATTTTTTGCTTTTTTATTACACTGGATATTAACTCATTTAGATATCATTGCTATTACTGGTGCTTGCAGGTGGAGGGATTACTAGGTCATCCAATAAAACCATGGATACTAGTCACTATGGAGATGGCCTTGCATCTAAATCTTTTTCTTCTGTTTGGTCCCCTAAGGGTTTGTGTCTGCACAATGAATTCTTGTGTTTACTTTTTGCAATAATGGAACTATTTTAAGAACATCTAAAGATTTTATTTCAGGTTCTTTTAAAAGATGATAGTTTTAAATTTCAATTCAAATGTTTGAAATAAGATACAGACTGCATGATAAGGCAGTTGCCTGCATCAAAAAGAATTCTGAAATATTTTCAAGTCAAGTAGTTTATTAATAGAAAAGACTGAAATAAAACTCAGATAAGATCGGAGTTATACTCTCATTGCAAACTACAGGGTGAATGTTGTATTCATTATTCTATGTACAAAAATAACCAAAGTAAATTTCTTATGAATACAAAACACCTACAACAGTATTATATTTAGATTTCAAATTATACAGAAGTTATGGAAATTAAGCTTTAGACAATGTGTCTGCATTACTGTTTTTATAAAACAATAGGTCTGCTGCTTTTTCTAAGCAAGATTTATTTACTTCAGCTTTGATGTGTTTACTCAGACGATGTATATTCGTGAACTGCTCATAATAATTAAAATATTAATTAATGCAAATCGCTTCAGATTAATATCACTTTTAATATATTTTAATTTTTTGTCCTCTGAACTGTCGCTTCGTCTTGTGCATGTTGACTGTTTCTTGTTATTGCTAAAGGAAAGAAATGATGACATTTGTGTTACATTTTAGGGGAGGTTACCACCAAGTCGTACAAACCAGTGTCTTTTGCCAACAATCGGGTAGCCACAACCAACACCACCAACAGTACCACCTCTGCCCGCCCAACCATGTCATCTTCTATCACAGTTAACTCAAGTTTTGGTATGTAACCATGCTGATAGATTTAAAATTTATTTTGAATTTTAATAGATTTTTTTTCCAGTGTTGTAATGCTGTGGTCATTATACAGGTCAAATATCCAGGTCTGTCCCATCAAGCCCTAGATTTAGGTCCAAACTCATGGTCCCTTTATCACCCAAACCTCTGCACAGGATCAGGGGTAAACATTTCATTGGATGACATTAGATGTGAAGGCCTTGGCTACCCACAATTCTCTTTTTAAACAGGAAATGCTACTTACAAATTTTTTATATACACTTATTGAAATGGCAAGTACATACACTGCTAAGGTTGCGTTAATGTGCATGGTGTGAATACCCTTTTTACCCAGTCATTTTATAAATATTTGCTTTTGCTGGTACATGCTGCTTTTCCCCTTCTCTTCGACTCGTATTTGAAAATGAAAATTAAATTAAGTTGCTGGTCTACTTAGAAAGGAAAACACATTGTCAAATAATTATTTTTGACCTTTATATATCAATTTGAAAAAAGTAACTTATTTAATACATTTTTAAAATTAGCTCCATGAAGTAACCCTGGAAATTTGAAATTCTAATACAGAATGCTTAAATATTTAAAACATTTTTCTCTTATGACAAATGAATTATTGGCAAACTTTGTATGTGCCTTTTGTCAGATTCTCTCTGATCTGCCAGCTGTACAATTTTTGTATTGTAAAGAATACCCCTGGTACATTTAGTAAATAATATACTTTCATAATGAATATATTTAGTAAATAATACACTTTCAGAACCTGTCTTGCTTTCTGCAAATTAAGCTGTCATCTCATTGGCTGTTATTCTGTCATATTTTTGCAATGGCTTCAGTATTCTCAGTGTTCGCTTATAGATTTTGTGTGAATTTCAACATTTGATACTATAATTATGTATATCAGTGTTGTAAAAGAAATTAGTATTTGAATATTTAATGGCCATATCACATGAACCCAGTATGCCATGTTTTCAACAGGGACTGTTTTTTGTAAATTGAAAATAATGTTTATGTAGTCTTAAATTAGGCAGAAAGATGATAAAAGCTCCCTGCTGAAAGAAAGTTTGATGTTGTCATTAGTCAGACAAGGAGATTATGTTTCCTTTTAAAATTATCTAAAAACTACAATAATTTATTCTTTGTCTTTATTGAACAGTTTGTGAAGTTAATTGACGTCTGACACAGTTAAATTGCATGAAGGCAATTAAGGACTGTGCTTGCTCTGATTAATTTACAATTGTTTCAAGGGTTTCTTGAATCCTACAACAAATAAAAAATTTAAAAATGAAGTTCAAACATTAAATCAAAATACACATCCATATTCTCCTTGTCTGATCTCACTGTTGGTGATATGTATGTTGTATGTAGTCTGCCTCCTCTATAGATTCGTCATGGGACAGATCCTCCCCAAGTCTCTGGTCCTCAATGTCCAATTACACCAGCGACTCAGTCCGGTCCACACCGGTCAGTTCACCAGCCAACCAGCGTCGTCAATTTCCCAAACCTAAGCCTCCTCCTAAACCCAAGAGTAAACCAATTCCTATAACAGGTTCTAAGAGTCTGCCAGATGTAGATTCTATGAGTAATTTCACTACACCTAGTGCCTCCCCTGGTAGTTCTTCCAAAGGTCTGGACCTTTTCTTCCGGCAGATGGAAAAAATTTCAAAATTAAGCAGCGATGAGCAAGGTAGATGGTTTATGACCAAAGCATGTGTTTTATTCCATTTGCTGATCAACATATGTCCTGGTTTGGAATCTGTATTGGATTTCTGTTTAGAGTTTTCAAGCATGATGATATTTACTGTTTCTTTTTTCAGTTACTGTTCAGTATATTGATTTGCATTGTTTCAGTTTTTTTCTGTTAGTACTAATTTTCAATTTTGAGTTACCTCCCTTGACCACCTTACTCTCTTATTCATACCATTCTCCCAGAAGAATACCTCTGCACTCTATCTTCACACTGGAAATCTATAAGATTAACCAGATTAAAAAAAATACATAAATGTTTACATTAATTTCTTAGATCACCTCTTGATAAGTTTTAAAAGTAAAACGTAACCATTATTTAAACCACTTTGATTGACAATTGTAGAGGGGGTTGCATATCATTAGTGTATCTTGTCATCAGATATCTCATGTTAAGCATATTCAGATAAATGTTCAGAAGTGAACCTTTTTATTTCTGTACTTGTTTAAGTTTATTTAGTTCCCTCCTGTCAAAGATCACATTTAGATGATATGATATTTTCGTTTTTGTCTAGACATTCTTCATAATACTGGCATCTTCTCATTTAAGAATTATGTAGCTGAACAATCTGTCTGGGGATAAAGAAGATGTGGCCTCTGTTTATCAATTTTGCATTTGTTTGGTGTGAGATTAATACCTCATTGAAACTTTACTTTTTTCTCTCCTCTTCTGACATTAGACCCATCACAGGTAGATGAGCAGTCACAGACCATCATGTCTCTATCACCAGAGCCCCCATCAATGTTTGCAGATGCAAAACCACGTGAACTGAAAATTCAACACATGAACACCCCTAAAAACTTTCAACATATGGGCTCTCCTCAAAGCAATCAACCTGTTACTAGAGAAATAAAAATTGAGCACCACCCACCTTCACATGGTAGGGAAATCAAAATACAGAGAGCAACACCTCCGTCACATGGAAAAATCCACAATGTGGTCTCATCTCCACAAACTCCAACGTATGTCAAAGTGGATAGGATGGATGGCACACCTACCTCAGTGATCAACATTGAGAACAGAAGTCCAGGCACGGACTCAAAGCAACAGAGCTTCTCAAGTGAGGCAACTTTCAACCCTGCCCAAGGGGACACTGGTTCTTCTGCTAACTTGAATGCCTCAGAGAGTGCACACTCTCCAAGAAAAGTCCATGAAATTCCAATTCAGTATTCATTTACTCCTCCCAAACAAAGCAATTCTGCAGGTATGCCAACAAGTCATTCAACTCCAAAAGAACATCCTGTGAAAATTGAACAGTCTATTCCACATGAAAAGTTTGTTCATATTGAACAAGCGGCTCCACCAGAAGAGAAAGTGGAGGTGGAACGTCCTGTTCCAATACATCATTCATTCAGACAGGAACATCCAGTTGCTCCTGTTGAAAAGTCAGTTAAAAAACAGGTTCCAGTACAGCATTCATTCAAAACAGAGCAACCTGTTCCCATGGAGGAACCAATTGAGCCAATTGTGGCAAAGAAACCAGATCCCATTTCACAAATATTTAAAAAGGAACATCCACATGATATTTCCATGGAGTTGGAGTGTCCTTTGCCTGCAAAACTAAATCCATCTAGAGGTCACAATCTTCCTCTTGAAAATTCCGTTCCACTGACCATACAGACATCTTCTGTTCCAGAGACAAGGAATTCCATCACTGAAGAAACCAGGTCACATGACTCTGGAATAACCAGTCGTGGATCCTCTTGGCAGAGTGAAAACTTTGGGAAAGGGCAGACTGGCAATTACAGTCCTGGTTCTTATTCAACTTTACCTGTGAGGAAATCACAGCAGAAAGTTATAGCAGAGCCGGACTACGATGATGCAGAGTTTCATTCTTATTCATCTCATCCAGGTTTTAAGAAAAATGATGGACATAGAGGCTATGAAAGTGAGGCAGAATTTGGCAGGAGGGGGGACTTTCGATCAAAGTGGGCCCCAAATAAAATTCAGCAACCAATAAATGAGGGATATGCCACTGATATAGATTTTTTTGTGAGAGATAATCGTAACATTGGAAAAGCACCTGCAAAATCCACCACTAAGCCTTTCCAAGTAGGCAAAGGTCCTAAGCCATTTGAAAGAGACTACATGTCAGATTTAAATAACATAACCCAGGAACTGATGTCTGGGGTTGATGCCTACTTTGGTTCAAAAGGAAAACCTTCACAAAAACCTGCAGAAAAAGATGCAGGTTTTCCATCTCCCCAAAACAGTCAACAAGATGCATCTCTAAAGGACAGTCAGAATTTTTCTCCTCATAGAAACGACCAAAATATGACATCCCCCAGAGAATACCAAAGCCAGGACAACAGCTTAAGTAGCAGCTACAAAGATCCAGCTCCAGAACCAAAGCAGGTAGATTTAGGGAAAAAGATTGGAAGTTTATTTTCGAGTCCAACAAAGCCAGTGTTGGAGACCTCAGATAGTGAGAGCTACCCACGTTTACCAGTACCAGAGGGATTTGAAGACTCTGGGAGTGAAGCTGTGGTAGAGGACCTAGGGGACAAAGAAAGGATGGCAGCCCCCAGATTTGTACAACTAAAGGTTCACCATGAGGAAACCCCTCCCAGTACTCCTTACTGTGATAAACATGGTTCAGGTAGGAATGGTGTTCTTGTGCATGGAGTATGATCACGTTCAATAAACTTCCAAAACTACCTGCATGTGAACGATGCACAAGTGGACATGAACAAACTAACAGATAGTTCCAGAGTTCTGAGAAGCTCAGGAAGCATGGAAAATTACCTAACAAGATTGACCTCCCCTGAACCAGCATGAGGATCTAACTTGTATGAAACATAATATTGTTACCAATAAGACTTCTTTAATCACTTTATTTTTTTCATATGCACTATAGCTAATTTGATATTTGATTTTATTTTATCAATTTTTTTAGTTTGCACATAGAAGCCTTAAATTTTGATTCTTATTTTCAACTCATTTTATTTGTTTGGCATAATTTAAAAGTCTTGTTTCAGAATTACTTATTTTTCTCTTCGCAGTTGGGTTACCCATTCTTTAGTTGGCTTGTGTAGAAATTTATGAAGAGCTCCTACTGTATGTGTGCAAAATTTATGTTTTATCAGCATTTGTCCTGTATTAGGTCCTAGATGGAAGATACCCAAGAGCATGAAACTTGCAGTAGATTATAAGCTGTCATCATACTCTTTAGTTGATTAAGCTTTGGCAAGACTATTGCCACAATTATCATAATTTGACATTTCATTTCTGGTAGGTATTGATTCATTGCTGGATAAGTCAAGTATTATTTGGTCTGCTTTATATATATCCTTGGAAACTTTGATGCATCTTGTAGACCTTCTGATTTGGCAAGAGGAAATTGGGGCTTCATACATGAACAAGCCTTTGAGATGTTTTATGGAAGATGGGCTTTCTTTTGGGACTGGAGATCCAAATCTTGGACAAAACATTCAGATGTTGTCAATCAATAATTCTGACTGCAGACCATATTGTGGACATTATGACCACTTAATAACATTATGCATTTGCGGATATTTGTTCCTTCAGTTTCTTAAGCACATGTCCGAGTTCTTTGTGTAAAGTAAGTGTCACAAGTCCCTGTGGTCACTTTGTGGAAATGTATAAGTTTCTAAGACCATGGAAGTCTCTGTCATTATGTAAGTACATTAGTACTTTTGTATTTACGATTAGTATTGGAATCTTCCATTTTGTTTTCAGAGACTTTTCACAGCAATAATATTGAATGGAGATTTTTTGTTAGTGTCAGTGGTAATCAGAATGAAATTTTGAAGATTTAAACACAAGCTGTCACAGCTGTATCTAATATATAGGTCTGTTAAAATGCTGAATGATTATTTATCGGCAGATCTGGTGTAGCATTCAGTCAGGAATTGGTTGGTATTTCCCTTTGATGAAAAAAAAAAGGATGAATGGATAAAAAAAGTTGTAAATTTAGATAGGTCATGGTTAAAAAACCTGAGATGAGATAAACAATTTGGTTCATGGATAAATTACGCTTAAGGTGATAAGATACAAAGTAAGGTTCATTGAGAGGCACCCTTCCTCTTAAGTAAGAAATCAACTTCCTCTTTTGATTAAAGCAGAAGATCTTGCAGTCTTCTTTTTTTTCCCCTTCAATCGATAATCAAAGGGTGATTAACTTTTCCGCACATTGCAGTGCTAAGAATTAAGATTTGTTTTAGGCCAGGTGTAGATTTTTAGGGGGGCTTCACTGTATTTTTAGTTCAGAAGGTAGTTCATTGACATACCAGTAGCAATTGTGTATTCTTTTCAGTGGTTAGTTTAGATGCATTTTCTAGGTTTGACAAAAAGCATTTGTGAATCCTTCACTTCATAGATAAAAGCAGTATGCTATTTTCTTCCTGCAGTACAAAGGGGGATCCAGTTAAATGTCTATCTCGGGGTTGCAGAACTTTTATGATTTCCTCTTTGGCAAATCCATCCTGCATTGTCTCTAGTGTCTTAAGCACAGTCTGTAGATAAGAGTATTATTTTTTTGTGGGTTTCCAAAGATAACTGTAGAGGAGTCAGTGATTAATTAATTCTTTACATATCTTTGTATGGAATGTTAAGATTGTGACCTCCAATTAATGAAATGTAATCTTTTTTTTCTTGTTTTGTTTCTATCAGTGGATGAGCACAGAGATGATTATCTACAGCAGCCAAAGCAGTTCAGTAACCTAGGTGAGTGACATGCAATGATGGAAGATTCTGTAAATTCAATTAATTTAGAAAAGTGACCAATTGAAAACTGAAATAAATGTTTATAGGTTCTTGTATACCTCAAATTTATTGAGAATGTTGAAAAATTTCCTCTGACCAATAACTAATTGGATACTTTAGGATCTCTATAAAGAAGTGGGTAGATATTAACAGTATAATTATAACACATACCATTCAAAAGTTTAGTGTTGCTAGATACTTATGCAGACCAAAAAAAGTGGTGGTAATAAAAATTTCATATTTTTTTTCTCAAAACACAGAAAATAAAGCATTGTTTAAATTACAGTTAAACTTTGGTATCTTTAACACCAGTGTCTCAAATATGGATATGTCCAAATGGAATGGGAAGTCCCTACCACTCTTTCTGTATGTATTCTAACCTATTTCTTGAATCCTTGGGTATCTCGGTTTTTTTCTCAGTGCCATTGAGTTTGAGATAACAAGGTTTGACTGTATTTATATGATATTGATTTATTTAGCACATGTTAGTAATTTGTCAGTGTGCAATTAAAGAAGACAAATTCGAACAAGTTTAATGTCATGTTAGTTTTAGGAGGGAGTCCTTTTGTATCTTGTTCTTTCACAAGCTTCATTTTATAGGTGTTTGCGGATTAGAATAATATTCTGCTCTATCATGGAATTGTAGGATATCACAGTCCTTTTTCTGTAAATGCTGACTGTTTCCTTTTAAATGATGATACATGAAGGCAATGTAACCTATAATTTCCACTGTGAAGTTGGATGCAAGACACCATAGGTTTAGCTGCATGTATGTTAAATGCGGTGCACTGCAGTCTTGCAGTAGATAAGATTTATGAGCCTTTCATGAGTTAGACTGTGCGGTGGTGGATCAATAGTTTAAGGAGGTGTTGTGAGACCAGATGTTGCCTCTCCATTGCTGGCCACTAACCTGCTACGAATCTTCATTGATCAAAAAATTGATTATCCAATCAGGGGACCCCGTTTCAACCGATAGGTCACTCACAGTTTCAATTTCACCTTAACTGGGTGTACTGTGTTAAATTTGATCGTATTTTGGATTTTAAATGTTTATTCATTGTTTCCTGAGTGTAATTAGAGGATATTGATTTCTTATTGCATGCTTTATATGGACTCATTGTGGGATGCTGAATGGCTGAATGGGGCCCATCACTAGCATAGAGGATTAAGATTTGACACCATTCATGGATTGAGCAGAATGCTTTTGTTTATTTCAAAGGGATATGGGAATTTTTGTTACTGCTATAATATTGACAGAGTCAAACAAAACTTCTGCACCAACGGTTGGTGTCTATATTTGAAGTAGATGATCATTTATAATGATTGGATTGGAGATAGATTTTCCTCTGGCATGTTAAAGGTGTCACTGGCGTTCTATGGTGGATTTAATGTAATCCCCTCCAATTTGTCTGTTCAAAATTGGTTTGGGGGGATTTTTATGTGTGTTTAAATTGACAGAATGAAAAGAAACCTATAATTTGTAGCACAATTCTGTATACAAAGGTATTAATGTATTTTGTAGTTGTACTATTCTCTAGGCAAGATCTAAACTTATGTGGCCAATGTCACGAAATCAAAGACATTTATATAATAACTGCAGATGTAAAACAAATTATAACTGAACATATATTTATTTAATATTTCAGCAATAATATGTTCTGAGAATGAAAAAAAAATAGTTATAACTACAATTAGATGCAGTCATTCTCATTTCCAACCTTATTGAAGCAGTGCCATTTACAGTAAAACATGCATCTAGGGAACATGCTTATAATTATGCTTACAGTGAAGTGATTTTCATTCCCCATGGTTTTAAAAGTGTTGTGAGCTTAAGGATGTAATGAATTGCGTTTATAACGAAACAAAATTGTCCATCCCTGGCACTTGGCTATAAGCATGTGTTCTACCCTATATCTGTATTTGCTAAATTATGTGTTTTAAGTGTATCTCTGTATTTATTTCAGATAAACCAGAACCATTGTCGTACTTTGAACAGCAGAAAACTAGATCCCCCAAGTCCCCTACCTCTCCTCTAGTAAAGAGTACCCCTTCTATCTGGAAACCAGGACAGGGCCCCTCCCTGGTCAAGAAGGAGTATAAGCCAGTGCGACTGGACACCTCACCCAAACCAGACAAACGGTTCAACCAAAAGGTTAGGCACCACAAAATATACAAAGGACTATACATACACATCTTATCACTGCTGGCCAGGTTCTCCTCAGCTGTCATGCTTCCAGGTTCAATATCTTTATTATATGTTATATGAACTATGTTGAGCAGCTGAGAGAATATTGACCCTGAATTACTTGTTAGCAGTATAGCCATGATCTTAGGTCATACATGAAAACATACAATAAATCATATTCTGTTTTGCCATAGATATGAATGTTGATATCTCCAATACCATGGATTGTCATAATATCAATATCTTGAACTCTCAGGTATCTTGGTTTTTTTCTCAGTCCCATTGAGTTTGAGGTAACAAGGTTTGACTGTATAAAGAAATATCCATCAAACATGTCTTTCAAAACAATTGAGAATATATTGCAAGTTTTGAAATGTTGTACTAATTTTCCACATAAATAAACAAATTTTTGAAGTGATACCATGGAGAAATTTGAGATTGTTCCAAAAGTATAAATGAAATGAGTAATACATAGTGTTTCAAATACATGTATGAAATGAGTAATGCTAATTAATCTGCATTAATACCATGGACTAAGCTTTTAACTTCTGGGTATTTTTACTGCTGATCAGCAACTGCACTGCAGTATTTCTTAGCCATTTTCTGGGTATTAGGAAAATTACATTTAGAACATACATGTTTAAGTTAATGTGCCTTTTGTGAAATTCTGTGCAATGCAACATAATATTTAGATTTGAGGAAGTTAAAAAAGTTCATAAACTGTGCAGTGAGTTAGAAGAATACAATTTTCATTGTAAAACAAATGGTTTGTAGAAGGAAGAGCAGCAAATAATCCCCCCACCTGCAGAGGAGAGCTTCACCAGTCGTTCTGCAGCAGATGATGACAGCAGTATGACAGACAGTGTGCTGTCAGGTCACTCTTATGGGGCTCCAACCTTCACCACTGCCTCCCCTACCATTAGCACAGACACTGCCCCATCCAACACCCTAGCCCAGCATAGCCACATGAATGGAGGCAGGGACAGGGACATGGATGGCCTTCACTACCATCAAGAGGAACCCAGTGTCAGTCGATTGCCTTCTACCCAAAGTCCCTATGTGACACTGCTGCAGAAAAACAGAGGTAAATAGCACACAATTGCTTTGCTCTTTGATTTTAGTTCAGGTTTTGATTTTTCACAGCCAGCCCCATTGCTGGTCAATTTTTATTGAAAATGAACAAAAAAAAACTTCCACAATCAGTATTTGTTTTGAAAGGACAGTGTCAGTGTCTGATGCTATCTTTACACGAGGATTTTGGTGATATAAGGGAACAAACCAGAAGGGGATTATAGCCAGCCCTCATCAGTCTGATGATCTGTCTGAGACACATTAGAGACAGTTTTGACATTTCATCAATTTCTCAAGGTTGATTGGTTGTGACATACCTTGTGCTTGCTGTAGGGTGTTTGTAAATATACTTGACATAGTCATCTAAATCTGGAAGTCATCAACATTGCTAATGATCCATAAAATGTTCCCCAAAATTTGTTTTATTCATTATAAAAGTGCAGATGTTTTTTTATCCAGTAAAGATAAAGCCTCCAATGTCTGTCATTTTAATTGAAAAAAAAACAAAGACAATGTATATGTATGTATGATGAGCATAGCTAATAATCTAGTAAGAAATACGTTCTAGTGCGGATTTAAACCATTTAAAGGCCCCTGCAGGCCAAGATAAGACTAGAACAGAAGTGTACAAACATTTGTTTATTCTGTAAATGCCCGGGGTTCTACGTTAATATTATTACCAATTGTTACACATACCCACAAACCCAAAGGTAGCGCGATAACCTAGAGTGGTTTTTGGCACCACTTAAAAACAACTCGAAAAAAATTAATAAAGAGGCTCTTTACCTCTGTATTGATTTGTTTAAAACCCACGACTCAAACGGGATTTGGGTGTTCTGTGTACAGAGGAATAAATAAAGAATTATTTATTATGATTGAAAGTTTTGCACTATTTTGATACTAAACAACGTGGATATTATTGACAAGTGGTGAAAGTGTAGCTTTTGACTCCCACCGGTGTATGTCTCCGCTGAACCGTGACTTGATAGATCAGGCACTGTCTCTTGTCATTTTCGTCCCTATGCATTACACCTTTCCAGATTTTCACTGTGTTGGAATGTTAATTAGGACTTACACTGACTGCTGGTGTGTAAAGTTTTCCTAATTACTTTTTTCAGTTAATTTTTGTGTATACCACCTAAGACTTTTGGAATTACAGTTTTGTTTTATTTTTTGAGTGATTCACTTTTAATATTTTTGGACATCTGGTTGTTTTTTGCATGATGGTGTGATTATTTCAGAGAATGGCTTTGAGGATTTGATCTCAGAACAACCACCTGTCATTGTGACCCAGGGTAAGAAGGGACAAGGATTGCTGCTTCATTTTTCATTTTATTTTAAAATTCATTTTTTTGCACAGCAACAGAGAGCTCTTTGGGCTGCTATTTTATATATACTGTAATGTTACGTGTTCATACACCTTCACACAAGTTTGTACCTTAGTCCTAGGCTTCATACGTGAACACTGAAAAATATCAATTAGTTTACTAAATAAGGAATATCTGACGTTCATGCATGCTTGCAAGTGGTTCGAATGGCTAAATATTTTATTCATATTTTTTATTTGTTTAGTGAGTTGTCAAGTTTTTGAGTAGATAAATTGCACTAATTATACAATAGAACTTATGCACATTGAGTCATGATAGAAGCAATAGGTGCATGTCCCTTATGCAGATTTTATTTTACTCATTAATTCATCATTAAAGAATTACAGTTTTCTTCCTATATATAAGGAATCCTGAATTGTAAATAGCATACATTTCTGCACCAGGAACTTCTCAAAATTACCCAGTGTTGTTTACCTTGCCTAGAAATTTTCTCTTATGTTCCAGTTCAAAGTTGATGGAGTTGTCAAAAGAGAATTTATATTTAAAAATACATTTATAAAGGAAAATAATTGATTTTTCATCTAATAATTGTGAGGTTTTAAATATGTAATTGCCTCTGAGAAAAGAAGTGCTGAAAGGTACTCTTAAAAGAATATTGAATTTATTCAGGCACATTAAATGATGTGTTTGAAATCTCTATCACGAATTCTTTGATATCTTTTTGAGAATTCTTTTATACAAAGCCCTTGGATCTTAATGTTTATGAAATGGAAATACACAAAAGTTCCAACCATTTCTCTGTCTGGCCTTCATGCACATTTACTCAATACTAAAGTATTGATAACTGCAATAGTAAATTGTTTGTATATAATCAAGCATTGAATGGAAAAGTTGACATGGGGTGAGGGATTGGTGGCAGGGGGGATTAATTTGGCTGTGTGCAAATGTTGACTTTCATTATGAGTGAATTGATTGTGGCTATGTGTTTCTGGTAACATAAAGAATGCCTAAACTTCTAAAGTTATAACAATATTTGACATTCTTGTGTAAATGACTCTTGACTACTAATAACTGACTCCTGAGTGTTGCATGAATTTTACAAAAATACTTGAATCATTTGAGAAAGTATTAGGTCATTATATAAGTGATAGATTAGTGTCATTTTATGAAATGATAATCAAGGAAAGAAGAAATGAATAGTGAAATTTAGCACATCAAGTACCCAGCTTTTGCACATAGTATTACTGCATGCATGCAATCTATTGTAGAGAAAATTAATGAGAAAAGTAACTAAGGCCACGCCAATTTGTAAAATAGTTCTTCGGATTTTCAAAAATAAAAAGTGAGGCGAGCGAGCGAAATAATTTTACAAATATTATTTTTCATTTCGGGTTTCAAAATTATAAGGCGAGCGAATATAATTAATATAGGTGGCAAAATTTTCTAAGTTCTCCTCTTTTTCCTATTATTTTTTTCTGGGAGAGAAAACGTTTTCTATGTACTCATAAGATGTGAAAACGCGTCTTTCTTTTGTTTCTCGTAACATTGCAATTTAGAGGTAGTTTCATTTCTACAAATTTTCTGTTTAATTCTTTGCAAATTGTTAAGGTCAGGTCAGGTTTCAAAATCACAATTGCATCGCTTCTTGAATTTTCTTTAATTTTTATTGAACAAATACGGTCAATATTTACTTAACCTTGTGTGTATTTTTCATATGTTGATGATATTCTCTTTATTGTTTCATCAAACAAAGCTTCAAACGTCTCCTATGCTTCCATTTCTATTGCTGTGTATGGAACTACTTTGTGCCCATTGTTTTTAACTATAGTACACAGGGGTGTGCAATAAAAAAAATTAAGTAAGTCAATCAAAGTTACTAGCCCCAAGTAAAAAGTTACTAGCCCAAATAGAGGGGCAAAAATTAAAATAAATACTTATTAATGTTGAGAAGAAATTAATTGCTGAAAAAGTCAGGGTACTGAGGTCATTCTTTTTAAAATTAAAGTTAAAAGTTCTCACTATCAATATAAATCATGTATGAATTATTATGAAAGAAAATTAAAATGAATTTAAATAAATTATCTTTCCTTTTTCTGATCATTGCACTAGCTCATTTAGAATGAAATTAAATTCATTTTGTTTTCATCTTAAATCATTGAATACACTAGAAATATATTTTATGTAAGTCACAAAACACTTATTTTTCAGTTGATTGAGTGATCGTAAATAATTTAATGAGATATCTGCATGTATTTACCATAAATGGAGGAATAGAGGAAATTCGGATTAGGAAAAAAATGATCGTTTTTGGAAGTAAATAGTCAGATAGAACTGTAAAACAGATAAGATTATGGAGATTTATTGACAGTCGGAGCATGTTGTCTGGAAAATTTTAACTGGTTGGGAATTTTATAGCAAAAAAAATGAGTGAAAATACCGATTGTGCTTGTCATGTATTGCGTGTGTAGTTAATTTTTTTACTAGCCCGACGGGCTTCCTCCTTGCAGAAAACCACTAGCCCGACCCGCAAAAATGGTAGCCCCGAGATCGGGAGATGCTAAATGCTCACCCCTGGTACATACGAACAGTTACACAGGCATCGTGCAAAACTTCACAAACTGTTACAAACATTCTAAATCCCGTGCTTCTGTCAAACAACTTTCCAAGTCTTTTGTGCGTTTTGTGTAAAAAGTCGCGAAAAAAAATTGTATACGGATATTTTTGGACGCGCGCGCAGATTTTTTTTATATTATTATAATTTAGATTTGTTGTAAATAGAAGCGGCGAATCCGACGAACTATATTAGAAATTGGAATGGCCTAAATTACAAATTGTGATGTACCTGTATTGAAATTAAAGCTATATGGTTACTTAAGTTTAGTGAAAGTTAAATCATTGAAAAATAAGAAATTTTTATTGCCTTTTTATTGTGGAATGCTTTAAAAAAAGTTCATTAACATAACTGTCACAAATAGGTTACATTTCTAAAACATTATCAGATAGTTACAAGTTATTTTTATTTCTGAGATGACATAAATGTGTGTATTTGGTGCTTTAATGACTGCATACCTGTCCATGACATGAAGGGGGCACCTGTCAGTTGATAAACTGATGGACCCAGACAGATAGAGATCCAGTCAAGCTGGACCCCTCACTGCAGCCTGGTTAGTCAGGCATAACATGTAAATGACCAGGAAAAAACTTCATTCACGACACTGTAATCTTACTCCGGTCACACACTTTAGTACACACATTCCAGGGTCTGAAGTAATGCATTGTGCCCTCAGGGGGGGAGAGAGAAAGATAGAAAGATGTGTGATGGTTTTCCTTGATAACTTTTGACTTCAGTTAACTTTTTTTTTCATCAAATGACAAATGATGTTTTTGAAAAGTAGTTGTGTAGCTACAAGCTATTGTGCTGTGTTGTATATTTTCTATTTGAACAAAAACTTGTGAAGGATCATAGCACTTCTGAAAATTTTCAGTATTATTTAGGTTCAGACATTCCTTTATTAATATTTTTTCAATAGAGAGGCATTGGTGACACCATTTCTTTGATTTTTTTTTTTTCAGAGGGGCAAATTCCTAAAGGTGCAATATATATCTCGGAGCAAAGCTCAATAAACGGAGGTGTGAAAACCACTGATACATACTATGCAATGCCTTCTAAAGAGGAAATCACAGACTCTGAAATAGTGGAGAGAAAACCAAAGAAATATGATGGAATTGGACCAGTTGATGAAAAAGGAATGCCACTAGCATTTAGAATGGTATGGTTTTTATTTTTATAGAAGAACTGTATAATAACTGTTTAATTATCCTCATTAGTGATACTTCGCTATATCCGTAATTTATTATATCTGTATAATGAATTCATTAAAATGTATATAGTGAATTAGCATTATACATTTTTTTTCTTCAAGTATGACTACCGAGTATTTTCAAAGATGTATTAAATAAAAAAAACTTAATTGAGGTACAAACGTTTCCAGATAATATAAATACTGACTAAAACAATGCCACTTCAATTTTTCATATTTTGAAATCTGAGAAATTCGTCATAAACGATGTAAATTTTGTTATTTTTAATCTCTACGGGACATGAAATCAGTTCACAATATCTGTAAATTCATTTTATCAAAGTCTGTTAAAACCCTAAAATTTTACAAAGAAAAGTTAAGAATTTTGCTGGGATCCGAAAAAGTTTCACAATATCCATAAATTTGCTATATCCATTGTTCACACTAACCAAGTTTTACCATAATAAGCTATCCAATATAATAAGCAATAATAACATCAAAGCCTCATATTAAGCCATAGATACTTACAGATACCTAAAACCACTCAATTATATGTCAGGACTACACTGCATTATCTGTGGAGCCAAAAATATGCAAAATTATCAATGGTAGATTAATGAATTAATGTTAAAATTAACCAAGTAGATGCTTTAATGCATGGAATGCCACTTGCTCTTAGAATCTTATAATATAGCCCTTGTGGTCTGGATAGCATTAAACCAGAGAGATCATGAGGTATAGATCTAATCAACCAAATTCTTGAGGTCTTCATCTGTATCATCCAAGCTAAGAAACAAGGGATTGGGAATATGTGTCAGTTAGATTGCTGAACAGAAAAGAAATCTGATTTAAAAAGTTAAATTAATGATAAGAATTTCTTCAAATTATTTATATGACCTAGAAGATAAGATATTTTGTTTTCTGAATTCAGGTCAGCAGTAAAGATAATCATGTATTAGTTAATTTTGATTGATATGGTTTTCTATCAGGGTTTTTTAGCTGTAAACCAAAAATGCTAGTCATTGACTCTCTTAATAAAAAAATGATAGATCACAACATTCTTGGCTGTTTAAGGGGGCAAGTAGTATGACCTGCTGGATTTATCAAAAGAGAGAACTTGTACGTTCCATAGTAGTGTCACAATATTTGTGGATTGAGTATACTTGATCCATTTCTTTTTGTTTGAATATAATACTTAATCCATAGATTATGACATAAATGTACCGATCTGTGTATTCTTTTATCTAAGACTACAATAAGTTATAATTTCTGAAATGTGGTTGTAAATTGGGTCAGAAATTAAAGAATTGGAAAAAATATTTGTTTGACTGCACAATAATGGGTTGGTGGGAATCAAGCATAGTCTTAAGAATTTAGTTTTGTGAAATTAAAAATCAAATTAAACACCTGGAAATAAAAAAATCTTTACGTTGTTGTTTACATTTTGGAACCCCTATTGAATAAAAAAAAATTCTCTGTTTGAATAAGAAGTCCTATCTAAATGGTGATAGAATTATCCTTTTTTGTCCCGAATGTCTCTTTATAATTTTGATAAAGGTCACCAGTTTGTTTAAGTCCACCCCCATTGAATTTTAGACAAAGATGTAAATGGCCATTATCCAAAGGAGATTAAAGCCACTGATATCATTGATAAAAAACGTCCTTATGATTTGAATTTTATGTTGAAATCAATGATTGCAGTCCTGGTATTTTAAGTCTTTAGTAACAAATCACTGTATCATGGCATCATCTTTGAAACCGGAGATAATAATTAGGACGTTTAGTATTCTTGTCCATTGTTCGACATACCAGTAATTAAGGTGCTTCAGTAAAAATATGTACCAATTTGCAAAATTTAATCTAAATAGAATTAGATCTTAATGATGAAGTCCTAAGCAATTCTTTGCCAATAATTCGTACATCTTTTTTATTTTTCTAAAATAAAAATTATGAAAAACTATTATTACCCATAATTTTATAAATCATTAATCAAGTTCAGTACATTTGATAAGTTATGCAGAGGGGCTTAAATGCAGAATATTTTGTTTATTGTATGAAACTGTGGAACAAATATTCCTGTCTAAAGATATGGATCACTTTGTTAAGAAAAAGAACAAGTGTGACATGAACAAATTAAATACAGTACAAAGTACATTTGATAAGTTATGCAGATGGGCTTAAAATGCAGATGATTTGGTTAATTGCATTATTGTCTTACAAAAATTTCTGTCTATAAAAGACATGAAGCATTTTGTTCACTTGTTCAGAATATGAAAAAGCTTAATTGACATGAAAAAAATTAAATAAATCCTGATGGAAAATGGTTTTGTGTTTAGTCTAGGGACTAAATCTTTTTTTGATTCATATTTTCTGTCCTGACCAGATTTTACTGTAAATGTGAATATTTATGTGTGTTGTTAATTATTTCATGTGGGGGTTACTTTTATTTGGAATTTTATTAACTTGATATTTGTTTTTCTACAGAATGTGGATGAAGAGAAGCAACATGACTGGTACAAACAAATGTTCAAAAGTCTTCACAAGACCGGCAAAAAAGAAGGTAACTATCCCTAAACAAGGACAAAATCTCAAACTAAGCTTTTTTTTAAATATGAATGTACAAGTAAACAATATTCCAGTTTTCAACTGCAACATGACACTGGAACCCACTTTGGTTAACCTGGCTAATATTATGATTTAGAAATGTTGACGTGTTAAATATTGTAAAATTCAGTGTAAATTATCTGTTTTTGATGCATGTTTGAGAAGTAGAAAATAAACCCTATTGTGCGACTAATCCCTCTGAAAAAGATATAGATGTTGTCAGGTGTCAGTATTTGGATTATCAGTACATAGTTATACAACGTATGTGATGTGACTATCTAGCATGTTTTATGACCTCATTTGTAATGGATGCTTCATGAATTATCCAGGTAGATGGAATTTCAGAGTAATTTAACACTTACGAAATGCAGGTATCATATTTGCACAATATTTATACAAATTACAGGAACTATGAATAAATTACGATCAGTTTACACAAACATGAGAAGTAAAAGTAGTAGGTGTTTATAGTTTTTATACGTTTGATATTTCATGTAAACTAAGAAGATCACTAAAGTTGACTGAAAAAAAAATTATCCTGTTTTGCCTGTAGTCACACTAAAATAGGGAACAGAGTAGAAGTGAACCTAATTAAGAGCTCCCTGAAGTAAAATGACCAAAAAAAAAGTTATTCATGACAAATATAAATGCAAAGCATAAACGTTTTTGAACCATTTTCATTTGAGGATAAAAGTCTTCCAGTTCAATGAAATGTAAATAATATTTTGTTTTTGGGTTAAGCTGCTCATATGCCTATGTTTATTTAGTTGCCTAACATGGGTCTTCTGAAATAATTGTTTTCTAAGGGTCTTATGGACTTATTCTGTCAGTAAATGTTTGATTAAGTTAAAAAAAAAAATTCTTAGGATGAAGGTTCCCCATTGTTCACTGCTGGAAGCACCCATTGTTTCTTTACATGTATTTTGAGGAGGGTCTGTCAACAATCCAAGAACTTGGTTGTGTGATACAATTTTGGAATTGCAAAGGAAGACAAAACAGTCGCGTACTTTTTGATATGTATGTTGGAATTTATTGATAGGTGGTATTCTTGTGTAGTAGGCCAACATTCTTGTAATAAATTTTAGAGAATCAAGAATTTAACAGTACATGTAACATACACCTTCATTTATGATATTTCAGACCATGTGGACACAAGCTGGATCAAAGTATCTAGTACTAGATCTGGTAGCGTATTTCATATAAAAAAAAAATCAGTATCATATTTATATAACAGAAAACGTCTTTGTAGTAAATCATGGTAGCTAGAACTTTTACTGTTATAAATTTGTTGTATGTAATCACACAACTTTTTTTTTTTTGGTTGAGTTTGTTGAAAGAAGCTGCAAACAAGAGCTTTTTTGTTTTTATTGAAGACAGTGCTTTAGATTTAGAAGGGTGGAAGAAAAGGCTTTTTAAGAAGAAGGGAGATAAAAATAAAGCCATATTTAGTAGAAGTAGTCAAACAAATAAGGGACTATTCATTCATTGGGCGATCATTTAAAGTGTTATAGTGAACAAACTTGTTAACACAGTACCCATAATTTCTTTCTGTTTCTTTTATAATTGGATACAAGGTTGTAGAAGTTTCATCCTTCTTTAAAACTAATTAGATTTAGTTTTGGAAACTTAGGATATGACAAATAGCACAATTGAAGGTATAGTGACCTATTTTAGAGATTTTAGATATTAATAACTGGCTTATAAGTAGGAATAGAATGGGGTTCATTTATTTTTAAGAGTGGTGAACATTTAGTTGACATGTTTCTTTCAGATCTTGAAGAGTTTGCTAGACTATTGGATTGTCTTTTTCAAGATGAAGGTTGATATGAAATTGAATTTCTTTTTTTTTTCCTTGCACAGTTCCTGCATCCCAGAAAGAACATTTTTGACATTTGTTTACCAAATTTTTCATTTGGGCTGATGGAAATGAAATTACCTTAAGCCATTCACAAAAGCTATATCAATCAAGCTTTCTCTTGCAATTATTTTAGTAATGGCATGTTGAAGGTGAAACAAAACTAGCATGTTCATCTTGTTAATTAATACTGATTCAAGTTAATTTGGAATTGAGTTGTTACTTATTTCACAAGAAAGTAAGGATTTTTTTCCCCAGTAAAATTTTGCCTACATTAATTGAATAGATACACACATTGCAGATTTGGAACCTAAGGGTATATAATCTTAACTATTAGCTCTGAAGTGTTTTATAAAAAGCTTTTTATCTTTCACTTGGCCTCTTTAAAATCTGATGGCATTACACCTACTTACCATTGATAAGAGTTTACAGTGTGTACAAAGACCTTTGAATAGGACACTTTTTACTCGAAATAGGATTAATGACAATATTGTAATCCATGTTTTAAATGTCTTTAACATGCCTTAATCACATTCTAAATATGTAAAAATGTGGGTCATTCCCTTTTTATATTGACATACCTTTTATCTCAGTAAATTTAAGAGAACTTTCTCAGCTTTTGCATTTTCAGAATATTAGACAATTTTTAGGTTGCTGTATTGCCATGCTTTAAATATTTCTGTTTGGAAAAAAAACCCTGCATTTTTTTTTCTTTCTAACTCCAATACTTAGTAAATTGACTGTCTGTTTGTGTAAGTGCATTATGTAATAGTTTTGAATCACTGCATGTCTAATGAATTGATGGAACTTTTTTGTCCTAACAGCATCTGTTTAAATGTCATTTTACACAATTTGCATGACATGTCTGACTTTGAACCCTGTCAGTGTCATTTTAACAATGTGAGCATTTCAATTTGATTTTTATTTTCCTCCCATGCTTTCTGAAGTCAAAAATATTTTTGGATCTGGTGAGAATTTTTAGTTTTATGATGTATTTATTTGTTAATTTTTCAGTTTTCTTATTCGAATGCCTGTAGTAGAATATTAAAATGATCTTGAGAGAAAAAAACATCTTATATGCAATTTTGTTGCTGAAGCAATGTAGTAAAATCATTACATTAATTTAATGAATATTAAAAGCTGTATTTTTTTCTTTTTCAAGATTCAAACACCTATACACCAACCTACAAGTTTCCAGTGGAAAAGGAAACGCCAAAGCCAAAAGGTAAATGAACTTGCTACCTGGAATATCTAGTTTACCCGTGTGATGCTAGACATCCCAATATACCGATACCTGTAGTACATTGTATACATATCAGAGTTTAATGTTGCCTTGTACAAGTATTTTGTTAATGCTAATGACCTTTAAATGGATTGGGTTTTGTGTTTGCAAAAAACAATGAACTTTTATTGCATTATCAATCATACTGTTTCTAACAAGCAACTAGAGTGTTTGAATATTGACTTTTTATTAGATTGAATCATTCTATACAAAACTACTCTAAATGGAAGATCATTACAAATCATTGTAAACAATGAAGGAAAAGAGACAAAGAATTTCAAATATTTGATGAATTCATATGAGGAACATCAGCATGATTTAAACTGAGAGTTCTTGATCATCATTATATTTCATAAGAGATTGAGGTGTCTTCCTTTTGTTTGAGTTCCCCCCTTGCCTGTATTTTTTAATTCACTTGTTTTCAGTCTTTGTTTTATGCCCCATGCTTGTCATGTTTCATTATTGTTGCATGATACCATTTACCTACAAATTATTTTAGATCCAGAACCCACTAGTCCTAAACTTGTTGTAAAAGAGGAAACAATTACTAGTAAGTTATAATGCATGATGTAATTCATGTATATTGACAGAATACTAACATTTTAAGAAAGTAAAGTCAACAAACTAATCTAGACATACATCATACATGAAGACATTTATAGATACATGGTAAGTAGGTAATTTTCATACACATAGGTCTTAGGGAAATTTATTTCCATATATAATCTTTTTCCAGTTAGATATTGCCTTCTTGATAATTTAAATTCACCTTCTTTTTTTTTTTTTTTGGTTTGCTTACATTTTGTGAGTCACTTTAAAACTAGACTCACTTCCTCGCACTAATATGCACCTCATTTAAGTAGCAACATAGCTTTGAACCAGTTTTAATATGGGGTATACTTTTTTTAAAGCATGCAAGGTAAAAAAATATCTTGGTATTCAACATTTTCAGCATACAGTAATTTTAGTGACTATAAAGCCAGGTGTTTTCAGAGTCATATGGACTCCACTTTACCATTCAAATAGACAAGAATGCACTCTTATTTCATCCTAAAGTAATGGAAAACACAAATGCACATTTTAAATGATCATGTACTGCATAGCGTTAATGTCTAGCTGTTCTCATTTGTACATTATGCTAATAGGGTTTTGTGGTTATGCTGTATAAAATAATTTCTTGTATCCATTAATCTTAACATTAAATGACACGGAAATTAAAATACTTATCAGTGAGTGCAAATTCTCAATAATTTTAGTTTTCCAATTTTATATAATGGCGATTTTTAGATTTCTGTACACAGAAAAGGAAAAATTTAAGATGTGTGTAATCATGAGTAATGTTTTTATTCCTTTATTAAAGAAGAGAATCCTTACCGCCCAAGTTATGAACTCCCATCCAAATTCACAAGCTCTGCCACCTTACCAAAGTCATCAACACCACCAGCAAAGTCTCCATCTGTAGCTGAAGCCAAGAAATCATTTGAGCAAAAGAGGGACACATTTTCTGGGAAACCTAAACATGGTGAATATTACAGTATTAACTGCTCCCTAGCTAGTCACATTCTCAATAATGATATATCATATGTTTGGAAAAAAAATATTCTGGAGAGTCTGTTTTATTTTTATTTACTGAAGTTTTTTTTTTAGTTTTGTTTTGTTTTGTTTTGTTTTTTGGTTTTGTTTTGTTTTTGTTTATAAAACTTGCATTTTCTACAATATCTGATATATTTTTTGCAGTTATTTACAGTAGAGCCCTAGTAATACATTCATTCTTTGTTTGCTCCCCCAAATTTTTCTGAATATATACATGTTACTCTTTATGAATTATGTCTGAATACATGTACTCTATGTGAATTCATTTTGAACATTTTGTTAAACTTTTAGACATAGATGCTGGATACAGATCTGAACCTGAACTCAGCCACAGATTAAAACAAAGAACAAAGAGTTTGTCTGATGTCAAGAGTAGAGAACCTCGATCAATGTAAGTTGATTTATCTCCCTTTGTATATTGAGTGCATTCTGTGAGTATTGTTTTGAATAGTGTAAGTTGCCAAAAAAATATAATAGTTTATAATAGTTAATTTTTTTTGAGAGTCCTGATGTGGTTTGATGATTAAAATTGTGCAATTTCCTGAATTGTTTGCTTTGTTTAATTTCTTTATGGCACATAATTTTGGTTTCATTTGCTGGATGCTTCCGTTATTTTAGCCTGCCGTAAGTAGTGGCTCCCCCCATTCAATGCCATCCCTCCCCTGTATATATGTGTAGTTTCTAGTGGCCAATTTATTGGTTACTTATACATGTAACACTTTCTATTGACCATTCTTTTCATCCTTTTAGTGTCTATTTAAAAGTATAATGTAATGCTAGTGTTTACATCCCAGTCAAAAAAAAATCTTTAAAAATAAATAATAATAATATTTCTATGCATCAGTTCACGTATACAGCATGATGTATTAAAAGATGTATTTATGTATGTGCATTATGTTAACAGTTAAATATAGCATAAATGTCATATGACAACCCAAATGTATGAAGTGTTTTGAAATGTGTCTAAAATTAGATTTTGTGGCATGAAGAATTTGAAATTGTTTGCAGTTCCTATAGGCAAAGTTGGAAGCGAAAGCATGATTTCCATAGGTAGTGTCGTTTTTAAAACGAGTGTGATTATTAATTTGATTGTAGTGAAGGAGATTTAAATAGTGTGATCTTGTCTTGTGGCTTAACATGCATCTAACTGTATGTCATCAAATTCATATATCACAAAGCACATAAAACCAAAAAAATGTCTTGTATTCAAAGGGAATTAACTCAAAAGCATGGAGACCAAATAAGCTAGAAAAAAAATATACCATACTTTACATCCTATGTATATCTTATACTGGCATGACTTTTAAAAGAAATATCAAAAAATTATTCTGTATACTTGCATTTCACTTTATTTTATGAACATTCAATTAAAAAGTATAATATAAAGAATTTAAAAGATATATTATAAAAAAAGGACATATATTCAATTTTGTAAAATGTTTTAATTTCAAACTAAAATTTATTAAATTGCCGTTTCACTGATCAGCCATACATATGTATATGTGTGCTTATTTTCATTCCACTTTTCAGAGACTATGAAATGCCTAAAGACTTGCAAGATTTCATCAAATATTTGGAGTATGTTTCTACATGTTTCTAACCTCAGTTGTATTGTTACAGTTTAAACAAAATTATCCCATTTTATTTTACCCCCAAACCCAAGTTATTCATTTAGATTTTATTTCATTAAAATTGTTATAAGTTATATGTTATGTATTATTTACTGATTATTTCTTATTTATCATAAATCCATTTTTTGTTTGTCCAAATTAATTTTTTTTTATTTGGAGTTTTGTGTATATATACAGTATACCTGTGTACCTGTTTCCATCATCATTTCTTAAAAACATGTGATTTCTTACATTACATTTAGAAAAGATACATATATTATCATTAATGTTGATCATTAGAATTCTATATTCAGAAATTTTCAATGCCTCATTATTTTTAATGACTAGTCACATGCTGGATTTGCTTGATTATAGTCCAAAGGGATAAAACTGAACCTGAATCTTGATAGATAAGGTTGAGAGGGTAGACTGCACTCATTATATTCCTGAATCTGTTCAAATCATGACTCTGGACGCTCCACCCATATTATTAACTCCAAAAATTAAGGCGACACCCAAGATTATCCATCAAGACGTGGGAAGAATAAGTTGCACCGGTCACTTAATGCGTACCTTGGCTATCGTTTGAGTTTCACATTGATCACTTCATTTTGTAACCTATATTTCACTAACCCACACACACCCAGCTTTCTTTGTTGTTTTCCATTTTGTTTGTTTGACAATTTTTTTTTTTATACCACTAATCTCAAGAGATTTACAAATTTGTCCATAAGCTGCACTGTAATCGGAAGTGGGCGAGACATTTGTTGACTTTCTATTTTGTGACTGTGCATTTCTTGATTGATCATATACACCTTTGTGTTTAATACAGACCTAAAAGAACAGTCTGTGGTAACAGATGCTTCAGTTTTTTGAGACTTTGATGTATGGAAGGAAAAAATAAGATTTTTATTTTAGTACAGGTAACTGTTTGCAGAAGTGAGTTACGAATTGATTTCTATTTTTTTTCTCCTCTATAGTGAGTGGTCACCACCACATGTTCGTTCTAAGATCGAGGTCTATAGGAACCAACCACGCAGTATTGTAGACTACGAACCAGGATTCTCCTCCATTGCTTTCCAAGAGAGCAAAGTGGTAAGTAGGCTTTGATTTTATCACAAGGCAAAAATCAGTTTTGTAATGCATATAATTTTTCTTTCGTTATGAAATTGGAGAATGCAAATATTGATGAAAATAGTGCTATTCTGTGTATTGAGTCAGTTTGTTTTGGCATGGATAATTTTTATAGGATTGTACTGTGTGAAATTTTCTTGAATTTCTTCCTTATTGAATAATGACAATGGTGAATGCTCTCTTGTTTGATAAGCAGCATGTAAAATCATCATTGCATTTTGGTGCATGTTGGTTTGTTTACATTGATAGCTTTTAAAAGTCGACCTTAGCTCTCATACTCTTTCATTAATGGGTACTTTGATCCTTTGTTTCCTTTGGGATAAACAAGTCAAGTGTATGCATGATTAAGAAAAAAAGTAGGTAAAAATGACATCAAAAAGGAAATAAATCATGTTCTATTGTCATAAAAAATGAAGAAGTTTACAATCAGTCAGCTGATTTTGATTGTGTTGGAGAAGCTTCAGGGTTTTGCTGTGCATCCTCCATTCCTTTTTGATTGTTATTGATCTTTTACCTGGCTAGATATTGATTCTGAGATGCTGCATAACACAGGTGGAAAAAACAGAGGCCTCCCAAGGGAGAAGAGGTAACATTTAATTTGATATGTGACCCCTCCAGGATGGTTTTAGATTTCTAGAAGGATCATTGGTGTGGGAAATCCCTGAATTATAGATACTACAGGTTTACATTGCGGGAGTCAACAATCGTTGACTTTTGATTTGTTATCTAGTGACCTTTGCAAACCTCTGAAGTAAGGGAAGATAACTCTGTGATAGTAAAACTAGGAAGATACAGCTGTTAGGATTTCCCTAGTGTTAGCTTAGGATTAATTAGTCCATTAAAACTGTTCTTGTTGCCTAGGTAAGTCTTATTGTGGGTGCCAAATCAGTTATCCCATTGATTCAAAAGTTGACAAAATTAATATAGTAATCAATATTTGCATGTGTGGCTGTTTGTATTCAGGTAGATATTTGCAGTCTGATCAAAGTGTGTTAATTGGGGGATGGAGAGAGAGACAGGTGATGCTTACTAATTGGGAATATCTAATGCTTGTTAGAGGTGATGTTAACACTGGTGTTCACTCCTGTCACTGAGGTTGTGAACAAGGCAGTGTGAACACACTGTGTGAAAAAAAAACATAGAGTGAAATGTGTGTCTTTGTTATTGTCCTATAGAGTACCACAGGGAGGATAAGATCAAAATCTACTAGTAGCCCCTTCGCTACCTTTGAGCATAAGTGTCGACAGGAACGAGAAGAAAAGGTAAAAAAAACAAATGTACCCAAAAATCGGCCAGGTGTGTCATGTGACCAAAGCCTTTAGGTGTGCAGGAAAGCTTTCATTTTTTTCTGCTTTTCTTTTTTTATGCATTTTTTTCACACACTCACATACTGTTACTGTTGTGAAATCCTGTGGTAGAACCATTAATCAATGTTGTTAATTGCACACTGACCCTTTAATATTTGTTCTCCCATTTTCACATTTTAATTTTTTATAGATTGGGTAAGGAGGTGATGTTTTTTTTTGTCCTACCATATTGACTTTGTTTCATAATGGTTAACTGGAATCTCTAACCCAGACAAACTATTAATAACCTGCATTTTTGTCTAATCACGTTTTTGTTGACGTTATCAGCTATATAATGGAAATTGACTTGTTTGTTTAATATGAGAATCAACAGGATAAGATAATAAGATTTTTTTTAAATGGATCTTTTCTCACCCCCACTGGTGCATGATATTGATGTATCCATATATAATATAATATTAATCTGGCTCCTCATTAAAATCTTTACGATATTGCAGCACAAAGATGGCTTGTATCAGCTTTGTAGGCACAATCTGTAGCCAGTCTTATGTAGTTGGTTTTTCATCTTATATTGGTAATCGGCAAAAGGAGAAATCTCTTTAATCTTCATTTACATTTTGTATTACATAAAGTCTACTATACTTCATACCTAAGTCTATTATACACAGGTTATTCTACAAATTTTAATGCATATCTATGCACAGTCAAAACCTTGATATCTCGAACTCGATGGGACTGAGGAAAAACTTCGGGATATCTAAGGATTTGAGATATCGAAGTTAAAATACATAAAGAAAATATGATTGGGACTTCCAAATCACTTCGACATATCCATGGTACATGTATTTGAGATATTGGTGTTCGAGATACCGAAGTTCAACTGTATGTGAATGTTAATGCAACTTACTAGAGGCCTAGAATAATCAAGTAGCCCATTATCCTATATTTATACATTCAAAAGGTAAACTGGAAGAATTAACTCGGGATATGAATAAATGTAATGTCTATGGTAGTCACTCTATTTTTATTCAAAATAAGAAAAATGGTATTTTCAAAATCTGCACTGCATGGACTTGATTAAAATCAGTTATTTGTCAGTGATTAGAAGAAAAAAATCTAATTAAAAACTTCTCTTGCTCTCATTCAAGTAGATAATTATTTTCTATTGAAATTTTAGAAAGACTAGCTAACTTTGTATTTTATGATATGTTTTGCTTTATAGTAGTACAATTCTAAATTCAAAAGAGCTAGATGTCCCAAGATCATAATAGAAATAGAATTGGAATTGTGCATGTGTCTATCAATACATTCATATATCTTAATTTACTAAAAGGTGAGAGTATTATGTGAAATATGTATTCTTGGGATGGCTCGGATTTATTACAGCTTTTTACAATGTATTCTTAATTAAGAAGATATAACAGTATTGCAATAAATTGTATGTATTTTGTAGGGTATTGTCCACAACCCACCCATAGAGAAACCAGGACAATTCAGTAGATAGTAAGTATATATATAGACATACTATAGTATATATAGACATAGATTTGAGGCCTGTTCAACAGAGCGAACGTTCGTGAGTGCTCGCCAAAATTCCTTATTCCTCCAACAGAAATGCTCTCGAGCACTGTTGAACTGGCCTCTGGTTTCATTAGAAATTCCAGAAGCCAAAAGGAGCTGTGTACATTAAAAAGTCTGTAGAAAGTTAAATTTGATTTACTGGAAGAATTTGAAGGTTCTCTGAAGCTCGTAGGCAAAAATTAAAGTGCAAATGACAAGATTAATGACAAGAATTTCTGGGTAAACTTCATCTAGATCTTGTATTTCAAAGAAGGTGAAATATAGTTGCGGGACTAAACTGTGTTTTTACAATCTTATTGAATGACGGAGATAATAGTTGGTATGTTTATGATCCATGGGTGTTACAATTAACGTACTAAGAGTCCTTACCTGAGGAAGAGTTCATTGAGAAGATTGACAAAATGATGTTATCAAAGTTATGTATATCCCTGCTAAGTTTGTAAACAAAACTATTCAAGGAAAATAAACACAGGGGGTGGCAAAAGTTTAAAAAGGTCTAGTAAATTGTGATTTTTATAGGCTAATTAGACAATTTAAAGGGTCTTTTGACACCTGACATAGATAACTGTTATACCTCCTTACACAAAAGATGTTTCTTAGTTGGAGTTGTCTGCCCTTAGGTAGATAATGCTGTGCTGTTCAGGGCAGTCAGTGGTTTGAATGAGTTACACATGGGTGCTTCTAAGCAGGCCAGGTACAATACTTGGATAACAACTTTATTAGGATGAATGAAACTGAAAATGAAGGACATAATCTTCCTATAGAAATGTTCAATGATGATTCAGCCAAAGGGGCATCTTTATGGACAGTTGTGTTTTTTTGAAAAATTGTGAAAGTGTGCACATGTAAGCTGGGAAGAAAAGGCTTAGTGTGTATTTTGTTTACAAAGGCATTTTGATGGACTTTTGATTCAAGAGTAGAAATTACATATGTGTCATACACCTGCATCAATATGATGAAATTAATCGAACAGCTGTATGGGTAGGTGTTATTATTGACAATCAATGTCTATCTTCTCTGTGAAAATTTTATTACTTCTTTGAGTGCCAGTTATTGAATGAACAATGTTTATGTTTCTAGATATTAAAGAAAACATTGTTAGTTTTTAGCATAATTTCCTGTCAAAGGTATTAATATTCTTCCTGAGTAGACACAAGGTGTATTTTACCTGAAGGGGGTCCCATTAACAGATAAGAAAGATGGCTCCAAGACGAGCTTTAATTTTTACTAAAATGTCATATATATTGATTTTTTAGAGTGTGTTGATCTATCAATAATAATTCTATAAGATATGCAGCTTTCAACACTATAGGGGGTGCTGTTATTTATGTCACCCAGGTGCATCAATTTAAAATGAGATACACTTCTTTAGAATCAGTTGTTTATACTATTGTAAGTGTCAAAGCCTTTACAAAAAGCCTTCATATAAAGATAGGATAGCTCTAAACATTTAAAGATTAGGTCGACAGAAATATCAGTGCTAAAACAGGTATTATCAGCCAAGATATTTGACTTTGATTCCATTTTCTTTTGTTTGGGGCAGTGCTAAGCTCTGGGTTTTACTACACGCTGTACCATTGTACCAGATTTGGTTGTTTTATGGGTGTCTATCACAAAACCGAACAAACCTCAAGATACTAGTGTTTATTCTGTCACATGTAATACACAGGGCAAATATTCACACAAAAACTTTTTATGTGAGTAGCTGGACAGAGTCAATAATAGCAGGGCTGTGCCAAGAAAATTTGATTGTTTTGGAGTAAACATAGCCACATGGCTGGGTGCACCACTGGGAATCGTAATTACTAGATAGGCCACTATAGTTCTAAGTGGAGAATGCTTGGTGCCCTAATATATTTATTTGTGATGTGTTAATGATTATTGGTAAATCAATTAGTGAGGTTAGATGGAATATGGGTGAGGCGTATAGGCAGTGAAAATTAGGAATCTCTAATGATTTCTCCAGAGGTCTCTTCTCAATTAATCAAGATGTGACCTTTAAAATGTAACAATGGGACAGTTCTCCATAATAAAGTGCTTACATTCAGTTTTCCTTGCTAGTACTCGCACTTTGATAAACACTGTGTCTTCAGAATTTTGCTTTTTTTAGGAGGTACCAACACAAAGTGTTTAATGAAATGCACCCTGCCGTGTGTTTCCACATCTTTATAATTGATGAATGATGCAGATACTAATATGTGTTGGACATTTTAAAGTATGCTAAGTGTGACTTTTATGTCCAGGTGTGACAACTGCAGTCAAGATGACAGATTCATTCATCATTGCTAGGTGTTGACATTGTCGTCTGCTTCCCCTGATACACAGTGTTCTTACTTTGAAGATCTCTTTTATGTGCATCCTCTGCACCATGTTTATCAAAACTGTAAATCACTTTTTATTTGTGAGAACATTTTCGCATAATTATGCTAGACCTTCTGTTTTTTGAAATTTTCATTCTCCTGTATAATTCTATTTTCAAAAATTAAAATAAACGATAACCAGAATTCGTTAGATTTAACTTGTTTCACTTATAAATACCAAAATAAATGATCTCTCAAAAATATGGCATTGTTAAACTTATTTCTGCAGTGTAATTGACACAGCATGAAAGAAGAATATGTGGGTGTGTCCTGAGTGGGCAGAAACAGTATATGTAATTTAAAAACAATCAAATTCAAAGCTACCTTTACCAGAACTTATTATCCACCTGTTGTAAAGCTTTAGATTGATGTAGGTCACTTATGACTAGCAACCCACAGGTTGTCCAGACATCTCACCCAGTTAGAGGGGTTGTATTGGAGTGATAGGATTCCAAGAGTACCCTGTGTGTAAATGTTTCCTCCCACTCATTTCCTACATAAAGACAACCAGACACCTTGTTAGACTGACCTTAAGGACAGACGATACGTTTCTCAATAATATATAATTTTTTCTAAGATTTTGTCATTGAGGTATTGCTACTTTAACATGTTTACTCGCAAAAAATTAAGGTACCTTACCAGGCATTTGTGCAAGATACCAGAGGATGTTTTTCCTATAAAATCCTTTTGGAAAAAACTTAATTAGCCAATAACACATTTTTTTGGTGCTTCATTTTTTTAAAAACAATTAAAAATCAGTTTAGAAATCAGGTGGTTATTAAAATTTTGAATATTTTCCACATAATTTGAAGGTATACAAAACAGATATTTGAGAAACGTATCGTCTGACCTTAACATAACTGTTGTCTCAACAAGCTAATATCTAAGTTAACCAATGTTGATGTACTTTTCATACACTAATGTATTGTTGATTTGTTCCTATAGGGTGAAACTATAGCTCCTTTGGGTGTTTAGTTTGAAGTAAGGTTCCCTTCTAAGGTGCATACAGTTGAACTTCATTATCTTAAACACTGATACCTTGAATACCAGATATTGTCGAAGTGGCAGTCCCAACTACTTTTTATTTATGTTTTTTACTCTCATTATCTCAAATCCTCAGATATCTTGATGTTTGATCTTGGTCCCAACGAGTTTGAGATAACAAGGTTTGACTACATAAACTTGTGAAATATTCATTGACCAACACTAATTTTCTATGATTCTGGTGCTATATGGAGATAAGATAGGGACAGGTATGTTGCTGTGCTTTGTTCCATGTAATTGTCAGATAGGGGATGTTGGTTTGGTTAACCAGCTGCACAGTTTCATGTTATCTGCAATACAGAGAAGTTATTAGACATGGATAGAAGCAGGAGATTGGCAATACACTTTCAGTATCATATTGATGAAAACTGAATATTTCATATTGCGAGATTGTAATAACCTTACAAATTGATATCCTGGGAGCAGAGTTGATTGTTGGTTGCCAACAGAACAAGGAAATATGATTCAAATTTACCTACATATTTTGTTTCATGAACAGGAATTTGAGCAGAGTACATTGTTGTAAAAATATGTATGCATAATTGCTGTAAACAAGTACAGATTTTTGCAAATGTTTCAATGATAAAGTTGACAATATTACAGTGGCGCCGCGTTTATCCGGACGCCATTTATCCGGACGCTTCACCATCCGGACGATATTTTTTGGGAACCGATTTTTTCCATGTTATTTTGTCTCATTAATCCGGGAATTCGCGTTCCGTATCCGGACGGTCAATTTCTACTACAAAACATAATAGTTCATTGAAAAATGACTCGTTTATCCGGACGGTAATTTTTCAAGAAACGACATTTTCACACTTATCTTGCATTCGTGTTAATTGTTGTAAAAACATTGGCCATGCAGTCAGTTTGAAGGCGGTTACCTGTGACCTACAAACAATAGCGTCTATAATTAGCGTGTGTTTACCCCAATTCAATCACACGTTTATCTTTATTATGAAGCTCAAAGAATTTAACTGACACTGTGCATTAATTAAATAATAATCCGTTCAAAATCATATTGCTAACCGTATATACATCGCTAAATTAAGAAGAATTTTGGAGAGTTGTAAATAAAATGAACAATAAATAACGAGCGATTTTGTAATGCTCTTTATCATGTGATTGCGTTAGTTTAAAATACGATGTTCCATTTCTAAAAAACGTAAATGGATTTGAAACGTTTTTTTTCCCAAAAGACAGTATAGAAAGGTACATAATAGAAGAAATATCTCTATCTAATGTACTACCGTTTACAAACGTCCATTACATATCAAACTGGCGTTACGTACAGAAGTTGATTACGTTTTTCAAGGTATTTTTTAATGATCGAAATTCAAACTTAGCGTCTGTAGAAAAAAATAATATTGATAATCATGAAGACGGCTCGTGTTTACGAATGTTATTACTTTGTTTGATTAGTTTGCAGTGTTTAATTTTATAGTAACCATGTGTAATGAATATACGGGGAATATACAGGGTTAGTTTATATTTGAACATTTTCAATGATGATGCTGAACAGTTCTGTCATATCATATAAGCTTCAATAATTATAATATATGACCAAAAAAAACAACAGTAGATCAAAATTTGCTCAACCCATGAAGTCACATGTCAAAGAGAAGGTGAATTAAAAAAGGAGGTCTCGGCATAAAATTGGCCATCCACTTTTTTTATTGTGTAAATTACATTTTAATATATTTTTTCATTAATCAATTACTGCTTTTAAAACAATTAAGCAAAATATAATTTAAAAGTTGTCTTTCTTTGCTGTCACATTTGAAACAAGAATGTGCATATATACATGCTTATATAGAGAGTGCTTTTTGATATGTGATTCAATTATCCGGACGATTCATTTATCCGGACGATTTCGTTGGGGACAGAGGCGTCCGGATAAACGAGGCGCCACTGTATAAACAGAGAACATTGGTGAGAGTTTGTTGAATGGTATGATGAGGTCAGATTAGTGATTTTTCTACAAAGACTGATCTTCATGAATATTAATCTAAGGTGATGAAAAGAATTATGGTAATACCCGATAAGTAAAGATAAGCCTGATTGGGAATACCAGATTTTGATTTTGTCAGTCAACTAAGACTACATTTTGTTGTTAAATGAGCAGGGTGTGTTGGAGAAGGAATACAGTAGATCATTTAACAGTGTTTAACATGGCTTCATCTTATGTTTTATGGTAACTGTTTTTTTTTTCTGGTCAAAAATTTTTTGTACTTGGCATATCATTCATAGTTCAAGGAGAATGATTTATTGTAAGCTGGTAAGAAACAATTAATGAATTAAGCACATTTATGCCCTTGACAATTCAATGTTATGCACATGTATATCTATATGTACGAATGCTTACTGGTATGTTTTGCAATAACTGCTGCATAGATTGTTTTGTGGTTAGAAGATATTTTACCATAGCCTTTGAAATGGGTATTCTATGAAGATGAATAAAGTAATTAATTGTAAAGACCAGACTTAGTTTGCAGGTTAATGAGATTATAGAAATAAAATTACTGTATCTGATCACTTTGAAAAGTACTTTCATTGTAGAATTATAAAATCAACATTATCCTATTTCTGTTACAGCACAGAGGGAAAGAAACAAGGATCCACCCCTCTCAATCTCAAGGATGAGGGGGAGGAAGACAAAGATGCTGCCTACAAGCGTGTCCAGAAAGGAGGAGATATTCCCATCAAGGGTCTGCACATGCCTGCCCCAGAGAAACCATCAAGTGAGTTATCTCCCCTCTGTAGCTAATCTTACGGCTTACTGTTTGACTGGTTTTCTTTCCTTATTTCACCTCACCTCTGAAACTTTTAAAATGTTTTTGCTGTTCCTGTCCACATGGTTATATTTTTCACCTTGAAACCTATGTATTTTTTCCCTTGATCACAGCCTTGTTTTGCCAGAGCTGATGAAGCTGTATAAAAGTTCTTGTTTATGCACATTCTAGATCAATAGGGTAATCTCGGAAACAAAATCTCATGGAAAACAAGTGAAACTGGGGAATTGGTATCTCTGCTGTTCAGACAAAGCTAATTAATTAAACAGGGATTTTTTTTTTAATTCAATATAAGTACATTTTTAGAATACGAGTAGGATGAAATTTTCATGATACTTTTAGCATGATTTCAATTAAGTCATATAGAAATAAATGATATTGATAAAATGCATGCATGCTACATACTTCATAAGCATAAGCAATCTCAAAGCACTTCATTATATTGAATTAACATTGTATTGCAGGGGAAAAAAACTAATTCGCATTATTACATAATCCACGGCAACTAATTTTTTAGTATGAACATACATCATTTCCAAGATTTTTTTTTCTAGGCTAGGAATAATCCTTTTTCAATGTCAGCTCACCCATTTATTTAGATTACGTTCTGTATATCTGTGTGTCATCTTGCTTTTGGCTGTGTACATACGTATCGTCATGGTAACCAGTTCTCTGTCTCACTAGTGCACATTGTCTCTGTCTGAGCAGCCATATCATTTAGTGCCTGTCACAACACTACATCAAGGCCAACGCTTGAATATTTGATCATTTTGGCTATTGCTGGCTGAAATTAATAAAGTCATTAAACCTTTAAGATAAATTGTAATGGCAAATGCCATTTCTTTTGCTGTACTAATGCATAGAATTCCACTCTTGTGTGAATTATTAAATAAATTATAAATTTTCAGTCCTAATAAAATATAATTGAAAAAAATGGCATTATATCCATGATATAAAGTCTTGGAATGGAAAATCTGGAACTAAAGACTTTTTTCAAAATTAAATGTATGCCAAAAGTCCTAGAGAGCTTGATTAGTGTAGTCTTTTGAAGAAGTGATTGCTATAATTTATTGTACTGTTTTTCTCTTGCAGACTGGCCAGGCATAGTCATAGTGTGCATTAGTGACACATTGTGCTCAGTTACTGTGCTCTCACATATAATCATCCTAACTCATGTCTTCCCTGAACTAACATAGAATAGAGAATAGTGCTATCAAACATTGTCACCTACATAAACTGACCACACAAAAGATACAAGGGGAAGCAAAGCTTTGGAAACACATGGTGGAGTGGAGAAATGTCTGTGTTGACAAAGGATATGAGAACTGTAAACCTTGCACGAAGGAACCAAAGGACAGCTGATCTGGAAAAGTTCAGGCCAGAAATGCATTCAACTCCAAAGTCCTCAGACTTACAATTAGGAAGATTTAGTCCTCAACTGAGGAGGAGGCCAGATCTGCTTCCTCACAGTCCGAGGAGTGATGTCATGTCCTCGTCACTGGATATGGAGAAGGAACAGGAGAGATTGGAGAAACTTGTTCTGGAGGAAGAAGCTGAAAGAGACTGGAATCAACCAAGGAAAATTGTGGATGTTTTCAGAGATTCAAAATCGGCATCAGACTTTCTTCAGCTTAAAGATGACATCAAGACCTTGTCATCTAAACCTAATGCATCTCCAAACAGAACTCCATCAAATTCACCCAGACATCAGGCAAAGAATGGGGCATGTAATGACAATGATGAATATGATGATTGTGATTATGAGGAGGAAGAAATACAACAGCCTCAGGAAACATACAGAATGCCAGATCCATGGTCAAAGATCATGTCTTTTGAGCCATATGAATCCAGAGAGGATACCTCAAAGAGGCAGTGGCATTCTTTGTCTGCAAGAAGTTCCCTCTGCAGTGAGAAGTCTTCAAGACTAGATCCCCACACTTACCAGTCTTACACAGCAGGGCTTCTGCACTCTAGTGGCAAGTCTGAGAAATTTCTCAACCTCCAGAAACATTACTCAATCTTGGAAAGAATATCTGAACTGGAAAAGAAAAGAAGCAAGAGCTTCAAAACAAGTAAAAGGCCAAAAAGCTGGCATACTGGCAATTCAGCAGAGGATGAGGAATTGCAAGATCTGTACTTTGAATTAGATGAAGCTAAGAAAAATAGAAAGTTCTTCAGCAGGAAAAGTGAACATGCTCATGCTTCTTGGAATCCTAATGCTGACAAAGGTTTGATGCAGAAACAGAAGTCGCTTCAAGATCTGAAGATGAAATACAGCAAGGATGATTCTGTTGAAAGTGTCTCTGGTACAAAAATGTCTGGTACAAGATCATTGGGGCGAGAAAAGAAATTTGCAGCTTTAGCAGAAAAGTTCAGACTTTTTGACGATGACTTTAATCAGAGCATCAATTCAAACAAATCAAAAAGACAACAGTCTTGGCAGGGTAGGGATTTCTACATTAACAAGCAATCATCAACTCCTGCTTCTCAGATATCTTTGCATGGCACACAGGTTGAAGTACAACCCCACAATAAATATGAAATTTTTGTGGAGGATAAGCAGATGCAAAGTAAAGCTTTGAAAGGGATAGAGTCTCTGCATATAAGATCATTTTCAGCTCCCAACACTCAAAAAGAGGTTGAGGCTGATAATCCACTGATCAGGACTAACTCCTCTAAAGAGTCTTTCTTTGGCAGCCCTCACGTAGAGCAGAAGGCACCACTGTTGGTGTCACCTTTATCAGTCATTCATGGAAGGAAGATAATGGCTACATATGTCAATGAAGATCCTGCTTCATGGAATGAATATTCTGATGAATCAAAGAAAGATTTGCTGCCAGGTCAGTCGTCATCAACACTTAATGTGTTTTCTAGAAGAGGTGTAGATTCCTCTCCTATTCAGGATGTTAAGAACTGTGTGCAGATGTTTGAAAACAGTGAAAGAAATGCTCAATTTCATGACCAACAGAAAAAATCTTCCAAAATGATATTTCCTACTGTAAATAAAGAAATAAAGGAATCTCCTGATAATGGTGTGCTTACTTCCAAATCTGCATTTTCGACTCAACATTCTCAGCCAGGTAGTGGTCCTTGTGTTAAGTTTCATGTCAGGGATCTGAGGGCTCTGGCAGAAAACAATGAATTCAGTCAAAGTAAGTTTGGTATGAAACCTCAAGTAGACAGGCAGCCAATGATGGAAAAATATTTGGAAGATGTTCTTGAACATTCAAGAAGCAATGAAAGACTAGAACTAATAGACAGTGACCAAGAAAGGTCTGACTTATTGTTTCACAGAAATTCAAATGATGGTAATAATTTATATGCAGGACAAGGAACTGGTGTTTCACAGTATCACATTGACACCTCAGATGAATCTGAAAGTGTAGGTTCTGATGAAAGTGCTGGAACTTTTATTGTCAAACACAGCGATGAAGAGTCTGAAGAAAATCTGCCTGATGTGACAAAAGGGACAAATCCTGTAAAATTTTTGGGGGCCGGTAAGGTAGAGCCTAGAGCAAGGTCTGTCCCTGATCTTAAAAGGGAGAAAATTGATCAAACACCTCGGAGACCTGGATCTGCCAAGTCACAGTTGAGTTTGAATAAAGATACCCCAAATGAAGCCAAATCAGTGAAAAATGCTAGTAATGTTAAAAGTTTAAGGGAGTTGTTTCATGAACGGAAAGAGGAAGGCAAGAGAAGTAGACTTCAGTTTGATCAGATTGGTGGCAAATTTAAATTGATTAGCCAATTACCACAGGATAACATAAAATCAGAAAATAGGCAGGCCCATTTTGAAGACAATTTTAATGTACCACAGATTTGGAGTTCACAGGAGAAAACTACAAGAACAGATATATCTAAACCCAACATTAATAGGGAGGAAGAAAAGGCAAAAAGGTTTGTTTTGGTCAAGAAACCTTTGAAACTGGCTGTGTCATCCAAACCTGAAAGTCCAGCTACAGATTTAACAAGACAAGACATGCCTATACAGAAGAAATCACCTATAATTCTTAAAAGGGGATTTCTGCAACAGTCCATGCCAGACCGATATTACCACACAATCGCAGCACCTCGAAGAAAAGATCCCTCAGTTCAGAAATCCAACAATGGTGGTGGAACTCTCCCCAGGTCATCTGGAAGGTCACAAGATCAGATGCAGAGCATGGCAATTGCAGGTCATTATTAAATTCTTCATCCACTTCCCCAGCTTTGCATGTGACCCTTCTCTGCTTTTGTTCCTCTTCCAACAATCTGTCTCTCATCATTGTCTGCTCTTGCATGGTGTGATTAATGTAGAATTTTGTTGAGAGCATTCCAGAAAAAAAAATTACTCTCAGTTGCTGCCATTTAATGATTTAACCCTGTTAGAAGGTTATTTGGGAGGAAAAAAATCATGAGGCTAACATTTTAAAAAATTTTCAGAAAAACTAAAATTCATTTTAAGTATCAGACCACATTGATTGTTTTTCATATTGTTTTTATTCATACCTTGTGACTATATTGCATGCCTTCTTTCAATTTTTTGATTTTGATTGCATGTTTTTTGAAATAGAAAAGAAAGCAGAACAGGACCAGACCATGCCTCCAAAAGTCCCTCCTTCTCCCCAATCACCTCAGCAGCTCATCCCCCATTTCCACAATGTATATGAACCAGTTGTTGTCAGGGTCAATAACCACCCTGGTTCTTCCTTCATTAGTGGGGCCCCTGCCCCTCCTATACGGAAGCATCCCATCACAATAGGAGGGTACAAGTTCAAGTTGCCAAGGCAACGTAGTAGTCTGTCTGCAGCCGAACAGCTAGGGGTCACAAGTCCTTCCCCAATCAAATCCAATGGAGGTATTGCTTGTGTGCTGGGCAAGAACCTAATGCCTCTGTAGAAGTTTTTGGAGTGTTTTTCTCCTCTGGTCTCACATGCTGTAGATGGCTTGCTCCTCACACATTTTATATATTACGATGGTTTTGGCATTAAAAGGGTTTACTCATATTTTGTTGCTAGGTGTTTGATGAAAAACTTGTGTCTAAAACTTAAGTTGTATGTGCTCCAAGTGATAGGCTTTCCCCAAACATTTAAATTGTGTTACTTTTATATCATCAGCCATTGATGAGGAGTTTGCTTTTCTGAAAGAGTTTGAGAAGGGTGAGTATGAGAATCATGTGAGCATGACTTATCAGACCAAGTATTATCAAACATATCTGCCAAGTTTCAGTTTCAGCACACTATTACACTGTATATGTCACAAACACTTTACTAAATAAATCTGCATTAATGAGCATGGATGATTGAAAATCTTATACATAGAGATTCAATATTACAATAGGTAGTTCATGTAAAAGTCATATTTTTGTAAAAAAAACATTTATTCTTTAATACTATATTAAGTTTATTTGAAAATAAGCAAATATTCACGTGCTAAGCAAACTGGGATGATTCATGTTCCCAAAATCTTGAATATACTGTACCTGTTTAGAATGTGCAGAAAGGAAAAAGAGTAAGTTCTCCTTAGTCTCTTGTGTTTCATGTCAGACTGAGTGTTCTCTAAAACTGATGGTAAAGCATGAAATTATACATACATTGTATCATACATAAGGAACCTTTAAGCAGCATGGACAAAAATTTGTTGTTGCATACATATTTACCAATCTTGATAAGTCGTATTGTGGATGTCCAATTTTTCCCAGGTTTGTCGTATCATTTGGAGCACTGTGTTGAATAACAATTTTAAGTATTACTAACAGTAGAATTAAAATTGATTAAATTAACATGAATGAAAAAACAAAAAACTAAAAGCACTGACTTTTAATGTCATAATTCCTGTGGCCCAAAAACTAGATTTCAATAAGTTTTTTTGTGTGTGTGTGAAATAAATGATTTTTCCATCATGATACTAGACTTGTGTTGGCACTGTGATTTAGTATAATGTTTTAATCCAATGTTATTATGGCTACCTTGGTAATAATTCTGCACTTTTACTATAGATTTTGCCTACAGCTTCTTACGTTTTAATGCTTTTGCTCTATTTATATTTTAGGTAGAAGATTAGCTCTAATTTTTATTTACACTTTCCTATATCCTGTAGCTATGTACAATACTGGAATCACAATATCTGTGTGATAATTTACTGTTGTTTGGTTTATTCTTTCACAATATTTTATCACCTTTGTACTTTGTAAAAGTTTGTAAAAAATTGTGTTGATGTGGATTTTATTTTTGTTTTGTGAAATTCTGTGTACTGTTTCCTAATGTTAATGTGTAATTGATTATAACTGTCCTCCATATTCTTACAGCCTTCAAGCATCCAACCACAGAGCAGAAGAAAGCCACAATGAGCGCAGACCCTAAGTACGTTCGTCGTAAGGAGGAAGAGGAAGAGTACAGAAGACAACGACTGGTAAGTCTGTCCCCCCCTCCCCCTCCCATGTCCACAGGAGTTAATTATATTTACATCCACTGCATATTTTCTCCATTGTTTCATATGAATTAATCAGAAAACACAGTCAACTTCAGAGCTAGTCAGATCCAGCTTTTGAAAGCCATCTGTATGACAGATTTCTTTAGAAGTGTCAAAGGTCAACTGTTTCATGGCTTTTCCATAAATTTAATGTAAAAATCGATTATATGATAATTAACATATTTTCACTCACTTTATATGAATTTTTTTCTGGCAAATCGAATATAAATATATGGGGATGAATGGTTGCAACGTTGCAGACAGCAATGTTGCAACCATTCACCCCCATATATTTACATTTGAAATGTATTTTATTGATAAAGTTGAAAGCTTTGGCATTTATAATGTATCATAACACAGACAGGGAGGTCAAAATGTTAATTAAAGTATTGAATTTATTTTGATGTATGTCACTAACTTTGAATGCTGTACTAATGCGACATCATATGTGAAAATCACAATTCATGCTGATGTTGAATAATAAAGGTTGCTCCATAAATTTAGTTAAATAAGTATGCTGCATATTATTTAAACAGGCATATTATATTCAAAAAAAGTGATATTTTATCAATTACCATGAAATCAATAAAAGTACATGTACCGGTAAATATATTGTAAATTTCGACATTCATCGTTGCATAACTCGAACAACTGTGCAGACAAATTTTCTTAATTTCTAAATTATGGTATTTTATTTGTCAACACAGCTGTCAGTTTTATGAATGATGAACATCAAAGTATACAATTCAGTGCTTAAATAAACAAAGAAGGCATTTTATTGATGTCAGGCACATCAGATTCTATGTTTAAGATATAGGTTATTGTTGCAATACCTTTATAGGGAGGAGTTTATCTCACCTGTATGTGGATGTTATTTGTGCTTTCAGGAACAACTTTACCAGGAGGAAAGAAGACGCAAAATACTACAGGAGGAGGCTGATCTGGAAGCCAGGCGTCATAACGACTTCTTCACGTAAGTAGAGAGATTATTGGAAATTTATCACCTTGTTAAAAGAGGTCATCTGAATGCAAGGTTAAGCATATTTTTATTCAATTTTAACATAGAGACATTTTACAAAAAGAAAAAAAATGAAATTTGTGTCTGTTCGATGCATATTACTGCTCTATCAAGAGCACCATAATTTCTTTTTTGCGCAGATATGAAAAGTATCAAATAGTTTTCAATTTTAGTTGTTGAAATAATCATTTTTTTTGTTAAGCAAAACATTAAACCTTTTTCAGAAAAATTACAATTTTTTTTAAACCTGTTCAAAGAACGAACATTTACAATTAAAAAAAATTTTCGGCATTAACATTTTGGGAGTTAGAAAGTGTTCAAAAAGTTGGTTGTTCCCAATTTAGGGCTAATTAGTTCCTTTAGTTCCCAACTGTCATACATTTTATAAAAAAACAGACCATGTCACTGTATCTAATCATTTAACCCATCGACTCCAGGTTTATAACCTACCAATCCAAACTGAAAGTTGAATTTAGTTTATTTAAGTTGACAAATTTTTTTTTTCTGAATTCTGATGATGAATTAATTTGTCCCCTCCAGCTACCCTAATAACATAAATCCAGATCCCATGATGACGTAAGTATACGCCTGATTGAACATGTCTACTAATCTCTAAGTGAGGGGACGGTCTCCCTGCTCCATCTTCATCTCTCACAAACATCACAGTAACCATGGTAATACCTCCATCATTCTGCCAAAACAATATTAATGCTTTTTTTTTGTCATGGATGCCTAAAACATACAATATGTACAAGTTAAATTAACAGAACATTGCTTCCGTTTTAATAGATTATTTAAATTCAAATATTTGGGTTTTAGGTAAACATGTATCGGTATACTATTTATTCAGTGTAGCAGATGTTAAAAATGTTTATTGTTGGCTTGAAGCAGTGTAACAAATGCACAGCAAGTGGGAATGGTTAAAATTAGACTCGGTACAGTTGCAGCATCACTTAGTCAGATGAACATTGATTTGAAGTATTTCTGCATGGACAGACAAGTTTCTCTTCATAGCTCTTCAAGTTTTCTTTTGTTTTTAAAGTTTCCCCTGTCTTCATTTGTTCAGAGCCACTGGTTTTGCTATGTTTCTAACAACAAGCTTCTTACTAATGATGAATCATGGGTATTTTTTTTTTTACATCATAATAACACTTCTCCAGAAACACTTCTTTGTTCTTTTGAAAACATTCTCCTTTTGTGATTCTGATTTTGATCCACTGGTTCAACTCATTGTAATTTTTTTTGTTTTTCCTTTTCTCTATTGACACATTTGAATGCTATGACTTAAAGGAAATTATGCTTAGGTAAAATTAAACATCATATTCTGTGAGTTTATCATGTAAAACAATTTTCTTATTGTGACTTACTGCACTGCAGCCCATCTCAGAAATCACCGATACCTGTTGACCGGTTTGATGAGCCAATGACCGTCACAGCTAAGTATGGAGTCCCAGCAGACAGAAGAAGAGGCTTCCAAATCCAGGGCAAGGCCAAGGCTTTGTACACCTTTAATGCTCAAAATCCCAGGTAGGGACAACCATTTTTTTCATGTCTCTTTACTTTTAGTGCTCTCAAGTTCAGTATTGATCATCATCTTACTGAGAATCTTCAATCTTTCATGAATTTGGTTTAAGAGAAAGATAGGTTTGCAAGAAACAGATCAATAGTGAGTGAAATGAACAGTACTTTGCATTTTTGTTATTGATCAGAAAAAATGGAAATGAGATTAATTGAATTCTATGTTCCAAAATACTTTGAGTTTGAACTGGCTGAATGAAGAATGGAAAATGAAGCCATGTGCATTAAACTTTGTGTACTTCTTTAATTAAACTGGACTGCATTTAAATCAATCCTCCAACTTTTTTTTAGGGAACTTTCATTCAAGAAAGGTGATATCTTGTACCTCCTTCGGCAAGTGGACAGGAACTGGTTTGAAGGGGAGCATTATGGCAGGAAGGGAATTTTCCCCAGTAATTATGTAGAGGTGCGATCTTGATAGAATCAAATAAAATAATGTGAAAACTATGATGTGGTTCAAATGAAAGATGTGAGAGACGTATCAATTTAGTTGAAATAAATTCTTATTTGTAGGTGATCACAACAATAGAACAGGCACAAGAAGCAGCCAGGCAGTCTGAGGGACAGGCCAGGGCCAGATTTAACTTCAATGGACAAACTAATGTAGAGTTGTCCTTACGCAAGGTATAAGTTTACAGAAAATAATCAGTTATTTCTTGTAAAAAATATTTTTGTAGACACAAATTTTTGCAAGTCATTTATTTGTATTTGATGCTATAACCCCATTTTGTGTGTGTGTGTGTGGGGGGGGGGGGGGGGCTGTTTCCTTAATACATACTAGAAGTTCTACATTGCAGGAAATACAGATATGGATTCTAAAGAACAAGTCTCAATAAGGCTTATCTGTGGTCCCCAGTTACTCGTCAAATTTCGAACATTTATTAAAATTTTTTAAAAATTAAATTTTGTTATTAACTAATGTCTTTATTATTTGAATCATCATCTAAAAATGTCAAACAATAGATATAGGCAGCATACGAAGCTGCGCGTTGAAGGTAGGGTCCTTTGATTTTCATGAATAACAAAAGAAATCAGTGACAGGTACACACTTCAAAGCTTTCGTAAACACCGAGCACAGGTTTGTTCAGAGTCGAGTTTGAAATATAATATGTATATTATATATGTAAAGGTTGAGTGAAAATATCTATGTTGAACAACCTTGTGCTCTATGTTTTCTAATTAAAAGTATTATGATTTTGAATCTCTTTGCTGACTTCATTTACATCCGATTAACCTCTTTATGACCTGTTTAGAATCATAGCAAGCCACGTGGATTTGTATCGTTACGGGTAAATGCCCCCAGTAAACGTGCTAGTTCTCATTTGAAACGTACTCAGTTTTATATCGATCAGCATGGACTCGTTTGGTTCATCTTGTTACAGCGTTTATTGCCAAAGTTTTGTAAATAGAAAATTGTATTTGTAGTTGATTGTGAATCTTGAACATTTACATGTACTAGTAATTCGTCTTTGAAAAAAAAATGTCATACCAAGATCTTCTTTTTATAGTATCTAATCTAAATATCTCCGCCCATTCCCATGTAATAGAGAAACCGAAGTCTGATCGGGGGAAAATATTCCGGCATTTTTTAGTGCGATAGGTGTTAAAAATAGGCTTGTATTTTTTGATATGTGTTTAATTATCCATTATAAATATGCGATGCTTTAATTAGAAATACTTCGTTATACACAATGAAAACAAACAAAATACCGTATGCTAATATTTAACCGGTAAACCAAGGGTGTAAAAAGGGACCACACTACTATACTTAAGTAGAATACACCTTTTGTAGAAGCTGAGAAATATTTTTTTAAAATCTTCTAATAGATGTTATTCATTTTATAGGGAGAAATAGTGACTTTGTTAAGGAGAGTAGATGAGAATTGGTTTGAGGGAAGATCTGGTAACCGCCAGGGAATATTTCCTGTGGCGTATGTAGAGGTGTTAAATGAACCCTCCACACCTCTGGTGACCCCAGCACCCTCTGTTATCACTACACCAATGACAGGTAGAGGTAATATCAGGACACTGTCTTTGTTTCTATCCACTTCCTGTCTTGCTGTTCCTTCTTTTTTTTCCATGTGTCACTTCTACATTTGATATTCATTTTGTTTTCCCTTGATCATGTGTGTTATTCTATTGGCTAAAAAGTGATTTATTTATATATACCTGGTATTAGTTTATTGAATCCCTGTTTGAGATGATAACTATCTGTATAATAAATATCCTTTTGATTTTTTTTTTTAATAATAAATACTGATGGGTATTATAAATACAAATAATTTTGTGTGGGTTTATTTTCTACTTCTGATTTTGTTTTTGTTAAAATGTATGTGGTGTAAAATTTTGTTCAGACTTTTTCATTCCTTGCTCTTGTATTTTTGTATGCCTGTGATCTTAAGTTATTGTCAAAGTCAATTTTTTTTCATTCCTTGCTCTATACATGTAGGTACACCAGAGATGCTATCCCCTGTTAGTATGGAGGCTCCCACCCCTCCTCCACAGCCCTCCCCAGGGGCATTTTCACCCAAATCACCAGCAGGCTACAGATCTGGATCAAGACAGAATGACATCACTCCCCATCATGTGCAAGGCTATCATGCCACCCCAGGGCTAGAAAAGACTATGTCACCCCGTTACTATGATAGAATGGACAATGGACATGCCCCTCAGTTCAATGGGGGTGATTCTTACCAGTATTCACAACAACGATCACGGCAGAGTCCCGGGACGGGCCGAGGTCCGCTGTCCCCGGTACAAACAGACAGACAGATGGGATATTCTCCCAGTGCTAATAAAAACTATGTGGAGAACAATAATGATTTCTATAGGAATAAGAATGTAGATGAGGATTTAGCCTTAAGTAGGTGAGTGTCTAATTAGGTTAATTAATCAACTCATCATATTCAAGACAAACAGTTTTCCTAACCACAAGTAACTCAGTTTTATGTCTGTTTACATCTAGTTTAAAAATCAAACCCCATCAGGATGCATGAACTTTAGAAATGTTGAAATCTTTGGCATGATATTATAAGTCTTTATTTTACACAATGTAATGTTTTGGGAACCCTGTAGTTAGATTCCATGTTTTGTCTTTGTCAGAGAAATGCTTAATTTGATGGTTGTGGGGGATATTGTGTATGAACGGTAAGCACTGAGTGAACCACAAAGAATGTTGTGTAGACACGTGATAGTTCATTGATGTCTTTCCTTGAATGTGACACTCACTTTACCCCCCAGTTTAGTTTTGCACATCTATCTATCAGAAACAACAGTTGGTTCTTTTGTTGATTTCTTTATTCTGAGTTGTATCTTCTTTACTTACATATGAAAAGTCTCCTGATTTCATAGATTTCTTGTTTTACTTTTATCCTCTCACAACCCAAAGATGTTTGTAGGATTTGTCATTTTATCAGAATCATTGTATTGGTAGTCACATATGCCCATTTGACATTTATAGTTCTGTATACGTTGCAGATATCGAGCTATTTATGCATATAAACCTATGAACGATGATGAGTTGGAACTATGGGAGCAAGATGATGTGTATGTAATGGAAAAATGTGATGATGGATGGTATGTAGGGACCTCATGCCGGACGGGAATGTTTGGAACCTTCCCAGGAAATTATGTACAACGAATTCAATGTAAGATTTTGTTTATATTCAGATTACAGGTATTGTAGCATATACGTGTACTTGTATTAAGAATTTTTTTTTTAATTTAATGGGGATGAAATTTTGAGTTTTAGGCCAAAAATACGAATTCAGTGATATGTGAATTTGTGGACAGCTACCATTGTCCAAATCAGTTTAAGTTGAATTGTAATTCATTGATCACCAAATTTCGTGGTCGGGCTCAACCATGAAAACAATTAAAAATTGGTGTTCAACAAAAAAAAAATGATGAAAATTTTAAAATGAATAGCTGTGGGGCTATTGGAAGAAATCATTCTTTAAATTATTTCCCTTACAATTTCATATTTCTATACTAATCAAAATTAATTTTTTCATTTCACAGGACACAGGTGAAAGGTTTTGTTGGCCACTAACTGCTTACAAGTATCATCCAATCAAAGTCACATTATAGTTATCCATACAAGGGACAGGTCAAGCCACAGAACAGTCAAAAGTGTGGCTAAGTTGCCAAATGTTGCCATAGTTCCTTACAGATGACTCTCTAATGTAGTTGATCAGTTAGTCCAAATTGTATTTTTATGTTTCGATTGAAAAGAATCTTCGCTGTATAAAATTTTCAATATTTATTGTCTGTTTTAATAATTCTGATAATATTTAGTTTGACTGACTGACATGTGTTCAACACAGAATGCACTTAAGTTTTTAAAGATGCTGTAGTATCATACGGGGCATAAAAAAGAATTACCGGTATTTTGTCACATATCGGAACAGAAAACATTATATACAAGATCTTTTCCACACTTTCTGCAATTTTGATGACAATCTTATCTATATCATTAATGTTAATGAAATAATAAAAAGGGGATTGTTGAAAACTGATGGCATTTATTGCAGAGTTAAAACAAAAAAAAAGATTGAGTCATTCTATTATAAGAGGCATTTAGTCCCATTGACAGAAATTTGTACCTGTACAAGTAAAAATACTCAGTCATATTACATCAACATCCAACAGAACATGGTTTATTAAGATTCTTTGACATTTTCAAACTCCAAATTAATATTCTTGGCAAGTCCTATAATTATGCTTATGTAGCATTGTACAATACCAAGCTTTTTGTGATTATTTTGGGAGTGATTGAAATGAGTGACGAGTGCTGTCGAATGGCTGAAATATTTTATATACATTTAAAATGTAGGTTTAAATATATATGCTGACGTTATTCTACAAATGACAAATGTGTCGCCTTCTTCTGGTGGCTCATTTCAACTGTTTGATTTCCCTTTTTTAGAGTACTTTGTAATTTAGTTGTGAAGGATATTTTAATGGCATGTTAATTTTCTGACTGGTTATAGGCTGTGTTTGTTTTCCCTTCAGAAAAAAAAAATGAAGTATTATGCTAGAGAAAGATTTAATATCGACTCATATAAATGTGCTTTTTTTAAATTCATGCCTAAATCTACAAAATATCTTTGTTGTAGTATTAATTTGCTTTTCATAAGAACTGGGATAGTTTATTTCACTTATTATATAATTATGTGTTTTTACTACTCAACTTTCGTTGGGTCAGGTGGATGCTAGGATCCTAAATTGTGCAATAAACAATTTCACCTGTTAAAATGAAATGGAGACACAAAAAAGTATTATTTATATTTCCTGTTGTTTTCCCCTCCTTATTCAATATTGTCTTCGATGTATATTGCATTTTTCACTGTCTGATTATGGAAGTAGAAAATTAAAGAGTTATCCTCCCTGATCCAACAAGTTTCATTTTTTCATGCATTTCGTCCGTTATTTTGTACCTCACATCATTTTGGTTGTGTTTAATTATAAAGTAAAAAGTATTTTGTTGGATGTTAGATTTCATATTTACGTTACATGCTTCATTTTTTCGTGTAGCATATTTGTTAATATTTCATTAAGTTATTTATAAAAGAGTTGACATGTCTCCATGACAATTAAGCCACTTGTTTTTATTATTACCTTGCCACAGCCTCATGTATTTATAGTCAGATTGTGACAAGGTTTATTCATAATTTCTCCCGTTTTCGTTTCATAGGGAGATAGACATATTTCTTATGCAACTTAGGGGAGTAAATTCAAAGAACTACATAAAATCCTATGTAATTTTGATAATGAAAATTATTTGAGTGACAGTGAAATATGATATTCAAATTAAATACACAATTTTTTTTTCAAAATTAGTGAAGTTGTCATGGAGACTTGTCTGCTAAGCAGGATATTTAGTAGCTGTGCCTACAGTAGCTATGGATATATGTTTTATACACCACCTTTTTGTTGCTACCATAGATGAACCTTTTTTGGTGCATGAAATAAAATCTAATGTCTAGATCACTTGGTTTTTATTTTTTATTTCTATACAGTTCTGATGAATGAAGTTTGTGGGAAGTATGAGGCAAACATGCATTTGATTCAGTGAGAATAAAATTTATTCTTGGTACTAAATGAGAAAAATTATTTTTAATAAGACTTTTCTTTGAAAAGATTTACCTGATATATTTTGATGGACACATGCTGTTGACCTCCATTTAGTAGGCTAATAGAGTGATTTCACGCTGGGAGGTGAATTACTTTTACATTTTTTTGTGTGGGATAATTTGCAGTATATGTGTGATCACAAAATGTCCACAAAAATTTGTCACAGCATATACTTCATGTATGAAAGCTCAAGTGAGCTTTTCTGATCACATTTTCTCTGGCGTCTGTCTGTCCGTCCATCCGTTCACATTTTCAACTTCTCCAAACCGCTGGGCCATTTACCAAACAAAAATGCAACGACGCAACCTTCGGTGAAGGGGATTCAAATTAATTCATATGAAGGACCATGCCCTCTTAGGGGAGATGATTAAGAATTAGTGAAAATTTGGTGGCATCATTTGAAAATCTTCTTCACAAGAACCACTAGGCCAGAAAAGATGAAACCTATGTGAAACCTTTATTATGTAGTGTAGGTTCAAGTTTGTTCAAATCATGACCCCCAGGGGTAGGGTGAGGCCAGAATTGGGGATCAAAGTTTTACATAGGAACATACAGGAAAATATCTTCTGAAGAAAAGCAAAGCCATGATTAGTCATATTGATATAGAAAACATGCGCAGGTAGTGTAGAATCATCCCCCCCCCCCCTTTTTAGGGGCAGGTTGGGACCACTTATGTATTTAAACTTTTCAATACTGAACCGATTTCTGCTTTTTTCCTAGCCAGCAACAGTGCTCAGGTGAGTGAAGTGGCCGATGGGCCTCTTGTTAAGATATATACAATGACAATTCAAGAAATCAGCATAATTTTCTACCCACTGATTGAACATAAACTGTAATTCGCAGCATTGTGACCCCATGGAAAAAAGAAGAGTATTCCTAATTTATTGGGAGGCAAGGGAAGGATATGATGAACATTTCTCAAATGTTGCTTTGTAAACTATTGTATGAACTAATATGATTGTTCTTATTGTAAGTTAAATGCCACTTTGTGTATGTATTTTGAAAGAGTAATTTTAAATTATAAGGCAATTTTTTTTTCACCGTGTCTTTTGTGTCTGTAACTGGAAAGGAGAGAAATATGATGGACCAGATTGGGATTCAAACCCAAGCCCCCTGAATCTCCAGTCAGGTGCTCTACAAACTGAGCTAGAGTAGAATTTGTCTGACCACCACAAAATTCCCTCCTTAAATGTTGTTGCCTCCCAAAGACACCAACCCAGACTTTTTCCTGGCAGGTCTTTCACAGGCAACATCCTGGTCACGACACCAAATGTAACAGGAAAGGGTGAATTGCAATGAACCAGAGTAATAGTCAAACCTGGGTCCCCTGAATCTCCAGTCAGGTGCTCTACAAAGTGAACTATCTGGTCACTGGCGATCGAACCTGTCTGACCACCATGTCATAACTGCTGGAGCTGGTCCATGCATCAGGAAAGGATTTGTGATAGGAATCCATACGGTGCTGTCCATTGTTTGTGGAATGGATCATATAAGACATCAACACTGAGAGAGTAAGACATATAGTACATTGTGCCACATGAACATGAAGGTTTCCACGGTGAATTTAATCTTGTGCTGTCCAGTGTGGAATGATTCATAGGCAGATTAAAACTTGTCGGGTTGACGGTCTGTTGACCTATCTTTAATACTACTTGTTAGAGTGTCATTCAGGCTCGCTGTTTATCAGTTTGTATACGTCATGTGGTTGGTAATGGTCAGGCTGTCCTTGATACTTGCTGTTTATTGTAAATACCTCACATGAATTGTAATGATCAGGATGTCTTTGATTTTTGCTGTTGATTGTTATTACCTCATGTGGATGATTGCATAGTTATAGTGATCAGGCTGTCCATGACTTTTGCTGTTATTACCTCATGGATGGTAATGGTCCGGATGTCTTCGACTATTGCTGTCTATTATTTTATCATGTGGATGGTAATGATTGGGAGTCTTTGACTATTGCTGTCGATTGTAATTACCTCATGTGGATGTTAGCATGGTTATAGTGATCAGACTGTCCTTGACTATTGCTATAATTACCTCTTGTAGATTTTATCATGTGGATGGTAATGGTCTGGGTGTCTTTTACTATTGCTGTTCTATTATTTTATCATGTGGATGGTAATGGTCAGGGTGTCTTTGACTATAGCTGTCTATCATTTTATCATGTGGATGGTAATGGTCAAGGTGTCTTTGATTATTGCTGTCTATTATTTTATCATGCAGATGGTAATGGTCAGGGTGTCTATGACTATTGCTGTCTATCATTCTATCATGTGGATGGTAATGGTCGGCTTATCTTTGACTATTACTGTCTTTTATTTTATCATGTGGATGGTAATGGCCAAGGTGTCTTTGACTATTTGCTGTCTTTTATCATGTGGATGGAAATGGTCAGGTTGTGTTTGACTATTTCTGTTTATTGATTTATCATGTGGATGGTAATGGTGGTTTATCTTTGACTATTGCTGTCTATTATTTTATCATGTGGATGGTTATGGTCCAGGTGTCTTTGACTATTGTTTATTATTTTATCATATGGATGGAAATGGTCAGGGTATCTTTAACTGTTGCTGTCTATTATTTTATCATGTGGATGGTAATGGTCAGGTTGTGTTCCACTATTGCTGTCTAGTAATTTATCATGTGGATGGTAATGGTGGTTTGTCTTTGACTATTGTTGTCTATTATTTTATCATGTGGATGGTAATGGTCAGGGTGTCTTTAACTATTGCTGTCTATTATTTTATCATGTGGATGGTAATGGTCTGGGTGTCTTTTACTATTGCTGTCTATTATTTCATCAAGTGGATGGTAATGGTCAGGATGTCTTTGACTATTCTGTCTTTTATTTTATCATGTGGATGGTAATGGTCAGGTTGTGTTCGACTATTGTTGTCTATTATTTTTTCATGTGGATTGTAATGGTCAGGTGTGGATGGTTATGGTCAGGTGTGGATGGTTATGGTCAGGTTGTGTTTGACTATTGCTGTCTATTATTTTGTCATGTGAATGGTAATGGTCCGCTTTTTTGACTATAGCTGTCTATTATTTTATCATGTTGATGGTAATGGTCTGCTTATCTTTGACTATAGCTGTCTATTATTTTATCATGTTGATGGTAATGGTCCACTTATCTTTGACTATTGCTGTCTATTATTTTATTATGTGGATAGTTATGGTCAGGGTGTCTTTGACTATTGCTATTATTTTATCATGTGGATGGCTATGATCAAGGTGTCTTTGATTATTGCTGTCTATTATTTTATCATGTGGATGATAATGCTCAGGGTGTCTTTGACTATTGTTGTCTATTTTTTTATCATATGGATGACAATGGTCAGGGTTTCTTTGAATACTGTTGATCTTTTATTTTTTCATATGGATAGTAATGGTCCCGGTGTCTTTGACTATCGCTGTATATTGTACTGACCTCATTTGGATTGTACAGTGGGCTGTCACTGGCTCTTGCAGTGTGTGGTATGATTTCATATGGTTGGCTAGTTTGTCACTGCCCAAGGAAAATGACGCTGCACAGATATTCCATGTGTAGAATTCTCTAGCAAACCGGGATTTTAAGGATTTGACAATTAGAAGCATAAAACTTCTAATTACATGTACACTGGATGTATTTGGAATTGATTCCAATTCCAAATTAAGGAGATAGTTTCTCCGAATTGAAATTCAATTAGGAGAATTGACAAGGGTACTGCAAAAAATATGAAATCGTTTTTCTATTTTTTAATAAATTATTAACATTAATATTCAACTGTATATCTAAATAAAAGAAGTTTAATTTTTCTTCTGGGAAAGATATCTCGTAACGTACACTCTGTGAGAAATTTCCGACTGAATATGAAGGAAAAACATTTTTGCCGTATATCTTTCTTGGAGATTATTCCTGTTATTAATATTTTCGATTTTTTGACTTATATTTGTCCAGAGTCCTGGTGGTTATTCCGGGAATTTTCGATGTTTTGACGCTGTCCAGATGTAGACCACTGAGTTACTCCCCTGTTTCGATACTCACACCAATAGACGAATAGTGAAATTGTAGCTCAATTATAATTCATATAAAATGAAACCATATCAAGACAGCGATTCGATTTGTTCTTCTTTAATTTTATTATAGGAAAAAAAAACCCAGTGGAGAGCCTGTTTCTTCCTACTTTCTTCGGACTTGTTCTGTTTTTAGTAAAAAATGTAATGATAAAAACTGTTTTGAAAATAATCCGGTTCACGGGTCCTGATGAAAAGGAGAAAACATTCCGAGTTTGGTTGCGCCATTAATTATACATGTTTACAGTTCCAAAATTGTTAGAGCGTTGATTAATAATCCGTGAGAAATGAGATGGTAACAACACAGAGAGATGAAGGCTAAAACTGTCACTCCACCCTGTTTAAAACAAAATTTATATTTTTCATGATATTTCCATTTACTTCTCCGCAGTATTTAATTTTTTTTTTTTTGAGACTGAGTGTCAAAATTTGAAAGTGTCTATATAAAAACAATAATTAATATCGATTAATACAAGATAACCATTTTTATAATTTTTAAAAGTACAAATTAAGGAATATAGGGAACATTTACACAAAACCTTTAACATTAAAATTTAGCGACATCTACAACTAATGTATGTGAACTTATTAAAAAGTGTATCAAAATTTAAATGGATCTCTCAGTATTTTGACTTAGCGCGGTCAATAACACGTACTTATATTCCATAAATTTGGATACCGTTTAAAAACATGAATTCTGCAAAATAACTTCTCAACGGTTTCCTTGGCGAATTGTAAAAAATCATATTTTATTATTTCCATGTTTTAATGAAGATATTGTTATTACCATATGCAATGAATTAAGAAGTAGTAAGATATATAAATATAAATACCAGTAGTATCCTGTAGGGAGATTCCAGCGCTCTGTTTAGGTGGCAAGAAGGGTGGACGTCTCGGATCTGGATTTGTTGACACACGCTCTCATTAAACAGATCCATGGGACGGACCATGCCGACAGTACATACTTTTATTCCGTTGGCCAAGGAACCCAAGAGGGTGTCGATGTTTCCCCGAGAGGAGAAGTCAGAAATACTAGAGTAAAGATGAAAGAAAGCTTTTCGTTATTTTTTTTTTTAAAACTGAAACTGAGCATGTTGTAATGTGCATTTTAATGATGAATCTATGATATACAATAAAATAAACAAAATATATTTGTAGTTTTCTATTTCTTAAATTAGGTTTATCAATATTATTGTCAAGTATATTTTTACCAAGCGTATCTTGGATTTGCCTTGCAAAGGCCTAATGAACAAATCTTAAGGTATTCAATATATAACGAAGGGATATTGCACAGTTTTGAATCATTTCAAACTAGTTAAATATGGATTGCTAGATAACGATGAAAGTGAAATGAACCGAATTCACATGACTGATAACATATTTAATAAACCGGCCATTTTGCACCTTAAATGAAAAGAAGAAAATTTTAATTTTGTCAAAATAACTGTGATAAATGATTCATTTATTTCATATTTTGGGCCCTAATAAAGTGAGAGTTTATGCATATTTTCACGAAGAGATTCGTATGAAGTTCAAATTACTTTTTACAATATCTTAAGAACACATGCGCTTCCCATAGACTTCAATATAAAATTCAAGGTGCAATTAATTGGACAATAATCAAAATTTTGTAAATTCCTTTGGTGAAGTATTTTTATTTGATAACACCTTCAAAATGCTACCATGATTAAAATGATTGGAGCATTCATTTATTAGGTACAAAACGTGGTCGTTATACATTGAATACCTTATGTCAGTCATATATAACAAAATGTATATAACTTATGATAACTTGCAATTGTTAACTAACCATACATGTACATGTATGTATAATATGCAAATACATAGTGCATATGACGTTAAACACTATGTGTCAATACTATAGTATGCTTCATATTTAAATCTACAGTTTACGATTCTTAAAAAAAAGTTTTAAATATGCAACTATGTTTCGCTCATTTGGCGTGCTCTTAAAGATTTTTAAATAAATATTGTTGCTATAGATACGTGCATTGAATTTGAAAAAATGACACTACACTTACCAGACTTCAAATGCCTGATGCCGGATGAGAACTACAGTCACAAAGGCTACATGTAAACATAACATCAACACTGCTAGGATTCGAAACATATCAATGACGTCACAATCTAAAGCGTCCATAGTAACCAATTTCGCGCTGGATTGTCTAGGTTAACAATTTTATTCCCGATATAAATTATAAAAATTCATTTAAAAATATTATGATCATTAACAATTTAGTACTTTTTTTATTCGGTCAATTTTGTTTTTCACTTTTTTTTTGTTATTGTTGTAAATTTGTCATTAGTCACCCTCTTTTCCGTTCTCATCCACTATACTCTTAGATTGTATTGCACTCTAATCTGGCAGCTATGACTCAAGGGCAATTCTGTAATTATTTGTCGTTTAAAAATGTAACATATTTCATTCTAAGCTAATTTTCAAGTTAAATAAATGTATCTAATTTTCAATATTCTCTAAAATAGTCTCAGAAACCTCGAAACTCAAATTTGTTCTGCGAATCTGGGGCCCGTTTTACAAAAGAACTTACGACTAAGACCAAAAACTTAAAATGATTGTAAAATTCTTCAAAATTAATGATTCTTTTTAAAATTGCTAGCATAAAATATCTTTCTACCGCTTTCCTTTTAAAAAGATTAAAACCATTTTTAATTTAATGTAAATTAGAAAGTTATAAGCAGATTTAAATTTTGGTCTTAGTCGTAAGTTCTTTTGTAAAACGGGCCCCAGGGGTCAATCTCAATGTCCCCTGTTAAAAGGCTGTTTCACATAAAAAGCATCGGTAAGTTCGCAAGCCAGACTTTTCCGTCTGACACGCTCCCCATTTATGAGGAGTGTAGTGGACAAAAAGTCTTGAGTTGCAAAGATAATCGACAGGAATAAAGAAATACACTACAGCGATTTTCGTGACAGTGAAAGTGTAAGCTACAAATGTATTTTCGCATGAGCAATATATATAATATCTAAATACTTGTTCATTCTTGATAATGAAATGATAAAACTGTCTTTTTGTTTCTTTATGAGCCTCAGAAGAATACACTTAATGTTAAAGCAGTTCTCAAAGCAGCTTATTATTTTACCGCCCAACTTTCTATTGCGAAAGATTATATGAACGAGTTATCTAGTTCCTGCTCCACCATTATTGTTGTTAAGGAAGCTTTCTGACTTTCGTGAAAGAAACTGAATTGAAATGGCAGGAGCAAAAATATTTGTAGACAAAAAACTTGCTCAGGGCAACATTGTTGTGTTTTCAAAGTCATTCTCTCCCGAGTGTAAGCTGATAAAGAAAGTTCTCGCCGAGTACAATCTGAAGAACCTGTTGTATGTAGACATCGAAAGTAGACAGGACTGTACGCAGTTAGAAAATTATCTACAGATTCTGTGTCAGACGGACGCTAGATCGGTATGTAATACATAGTATCATGCATACAATTATAAGTTTTCATGTTTTCAATGACTTTTTAAAGTCGAACATTCTTATGAATTGTACAGGCGCTCCACGTGTACATGTAAGTTTGTAAAAGACGAGATGATGTTTACATAGGTCTACCCCTCTATATTATAAAACTAACGATTTTATAGTAAAAGAGGTAGACCAATATAGACTTATATTATAATTTCGTCATTTACAAACTTATATGGGAACACTTTATATAGTTCTGATTTTGAATTTAATGTGAAGCTTAACATTCATATGCAATATTTTGTTGATAGGTGCCACAACTGTTTATTGGTACAAAATACATAGGAGGCGAAAAGGAATTGATACTAATGCACGAGTCTGGAAAGCTTAAAAAAGTGTTTGAAGAAAACAAGTGATATTTACGAGAATCTAGTCTAAATGTTGTTGACTTTGACCTATTTTATGTGAACTGGGCGGCGATTTTTTCGCTGTTAAAATATACTTTATTGAACGTTTTGAATCTCTCAATGTATATTTCTAATTTAACCTATATTGTTTATGTTTAAAATGACCATTCATTTAAAGGTTCTTATTTTTTAAAATAAAATTTATTGATAATAATGTGCAGCACATGAGAGTACAAGACGTCTACTTTACAATTGTGTGAGAAGGTATCTTTGCTTCTAAGTAATATTTAAATATACATATTTAAAGAAGTTATGAAGCTTTTGCTCTGTTTTGATAAGATTTGATCCATTGAAAGGGGATGGGTTTTTTTGGGCTAACCTTACTGAGAGAAGAGTTGTTAGGGATATGAACATTATCTTAGAAATAAAAAGGTCTTTTAAATTATGAATTTTGACTTGTATTCATTTTGTGCACAATAGTACATTTCGAAGAACCTGCAGCACGACATTAAGATTATTGTATCAACTACAAAATAAAAACAAGCAAACAAAACAAAACAAAATGTAATTTGACGAATAATATAGTTTCACAGAAACTTTGAATAGAAACTTCAGCATTATTTACAAATTTATTTTATTAATTAACGACTTGTTTGCATGTCTTTGCAAGAAAGATAACTATGAAATTTTCAATAAAACGTAATAAATCATATTGCTTAGGGAGCCAAAGAACCTTGACAGTTTTTTTCTATATCACGTAACGTCGTTGTATACTTGCTACAGAATCAATATCGCTATATACAGGTGAACTTCGGTATCTCGAATATCATGGATATGTCGAAGTGATTTGGAAGTCCCAACTATTCATTCTTTAAGTATTTTACCTCGATATCTCGAATCCTCGGATTTCTCAAAGTTTTTTTTTTCTCGGTCCCATCGAGTTCGAGATAACGAGTTTTGACATGTACATGTATGTTACAATATAAACGCTGTCTGCTCTAAATATAATAAACAACTTGGGACAGCCTCTGGCATTAGGGGACTTCCAAAGCAAGGAAGTTGTAGTACTCGATTCAGCTGTATCTGCTGGATATCCTATAGTAAAGAATGCTATTTTCAGAATTGTAGGAAAGGGGTCACTTTCAACACAATTATGGGAACATTCTTTCGTCAAATGGATAAAGATATGAAGGATTTAATACCTTTTTCAGATGCCACTCACCCTGCGGTGTGAGACAGGTCTACATGTAAACTCTGAGAAATAGATTTCTCAATCTTGATAGTAATAAGAGAACAAGTACAACATTTGTAACTTGGTCCTACTAATTTGGTCTCGATCCTTAGAGAAAGATGAAATTTAATGGACATACACAACGTAGTTTTGAACTGTATTTTCTTATTTCCTGTACAATTTAAACGTTGCAATAACTGAAGGACCTTTGTGCGATTTTATGATGGCTGGTAATGGTGTACACCTTTTCTGAATCAAATTTTGAGGAAATACCTGCTAAAAATATATTTCTGTTTTTTTTTTAAACACAAGGATTTTCATCATTTGATATTTGTTCAAACTCCTGGTAATATATGCTAGGGTTTTTTTGTCTAAGAACATCCGATGCCGGTACACATGGTACTGTCATGTTGTAAATTTTGAATTTACTGGGTGGCAGTAAATACAAAATTTACAACATGACAAGTAATTTTGTATTTACTGCCACCCGGTAAATTTAAAATTTACAACATGACAGTACTTTAAATTGAGCATATCTCGGAAAATTATCAGTGGGAAAGGTACATTGTAAAGAACATGTACGTTGCGTATTACCTTAAAACTCCGGCAAAAAAGCGAATGAGCATTTATTGTTCAGTATGTACATATATAGAAAAGATCTTTAATATTTGTTGAACGTAGCTCCGTCTCGCAATTGAGGCCTGAATGCTGAATTATTCCAGACAACACATTTGTGTAGATTATTCAATAAATTAACAGCAGACAAACATTCGTCTACAATTACTTGTAAAATGTCTTGGATTAAGGACGAGGATTATTTTAAAGAATACATTCATTTCAGATGTTGTAACCCTTTTATGCCTCAGGAGATAAGGATACCTTATGTACATGTATCAACAATCTTTATTCCCCTTCATCAAACGATGTTATAAAGCGAAACTGAATTGATCTAGCGACGTCACGGAACCTGATAATATGCTAAAGTTTACAAATAGAACACGACCACAAAAAGTATATGTAGGCCTATTTAGAATCTAAAAGATTAATAATTTTTGCGCATTATATATATATATATATATATATATATATATATATATATATATATATATATATATATATATATATATATATATATATATATATATTTATATATATTTTAGGAATGACTCTAATTCTTGGCTAAATTATTCGAGTATAACCTGGTTTGGGTCAGTTTACGCTTTATAATCCGCGAAGCGGATTATAAAACAGCGTAAACTGACCCAAACCAGGTTATACTCGAATAATTTGGCCAAGAATTAGAGTCATTCCTTATAATTTAATTTTAAAATCATTAAACAACTGTGGTTGTAAAATTTCGTTGCTTTTTATTAGTTCAAATTTGCCGCTCAATAATACAACCGTAGTAACGGAAGTGATGGGAAGCGAGGGGAGGTAAAAACTGATACATAGTCATAGCAGCCATGTTGTTTGATTACATGTGGTAAGATCCGAGTTACTGTTCGAAGTAAAAGGTACATTTATTAAATCTGGAATTTTCCATGAATCCCGAGGACTAGAAATGAGATGATTGCATGGATACAGACGATTCAGCTGGTTATCAGGGGGGGGTGTCCCCATACCAAACCAGGTTATACAGAAATAATTTGTGTTCCTTTTTGGATATTAACCAATCAGAGGCTAGAATACAAACAAAATTAAATTATATATATATAAACTATTCCTGGTGCACGTTTTACGAACTTTCTTACAGCAGTGTTTGAATGACACACCTGTTCTAAAGATACAAGTATAATGACAACATTGGATATAATTATGAATTATGAACAGTACATGTATTCATATTTTAATTAATTTCCATCATTTTTACTCTCTAGAAAAGTAAAAAAAAAAAAAAAAAAAAAAAGGAAATCTGCTTAAAATACGAAATGAAACTGGAAGACGTTGTACCCTATAACCTTCTTTCTGTGGTAAGAGTTCAAAAACAATATCACCCATGTTTGTCCTTAGATAACAACTGTTTTTGTTGAACAGAGTCCATCATTTCCAGATTAAACACACTTAACAACTTTAAACACCCTTTTACTCTACATTGCTCTTCTTCCCCCGACAGAAGAGAAGATTTAGCCGTTTTCTCAAATCTTTCCACTTCCAGTAGACTCGGTAAAAACAAGCAACAAATCAAGTCTTCAATTTACTTTGAGTAAGGTAAAACTCAATTTCACATGATTAGAAACAAAATTAAGATAAATACTCAACATGTAAATTATTCAAGGAAAAAACAATTCAGTGAACTTTCATTCACGAATATTGCACAAAACCCATCATCTCCTGTACCTATTTTGCAATGTTACAAAATGGCGCTAGATATATGATAAATCAAATATGTTTACATTAACATTCCTACTTTTAGTTACAAATGCTAAATATCAATAAATCTTGGATTTGCTACAAAACATTCCACGTAAATTAAAAAAAAAATCAAAAAATCTCAATAGAAACTTTAGTTTCTGCGCATGCTCTACCCGTCCTTCCGGGGTCATCGGTCAATTGTTAAACGAAAGTTGATGAAGGTGAGTATGTGAAATAGATTAAGGATCAATGGAAAAACGGGCAAACATAGCTCCTGTCGTTTCAATATTGGGATTTCTTGGTTTTGTAGGTATATTTTTCTTCGGTGTATAATTTGTTTTTGACATTCAGCCAAAAAACGTTGTCTGCAAAGCAGTTAACAACACTTTGCTTTGTCACGTTGCATCTTACTTATGAAATGCGAGACGAGCGTCCATATTTAGTTGCTATTCCCACCTATCTAGTCTAGGAATCATTGATATCTTGTATCAATTGTAACCAACCAGACACCTACATAAACACTATGCATGCAGATCATGTGGTATACCAACTCTTTCTCTGTCGCTGATGCTTTCATGCAGCTGTATTGCCATCTCATCCAATCAAACACATTCTTACATTGTTCAGTTTGGCAAGTTACACGAGTTGTATACACAGATTGGAACTCAAGAGAATACATAGCCACACGAAAAAAAAAACAATCTCGGGAATGCTTTTCAGTAACTATGGTAATACAGTGAAGAATAAATGATATTCATAGGCAACTACATAACCACGCGATGAAATCGGAACGAAATTACACTATACCTGCTGCTTAAATTCTTCAAATCTGCACTTCATTTTTTTTTCAGCGAAATTGCCAAAAAATCATTTGTCTTCACATTTAAATCAACAAACACAGAATAGATTTTTTTTCAAAGGTTACACGACAGAATGACCATTAATCCTAGAAGTCTGTTACGGCAGTCATTTGATAATTGTAGGTGTCAGTAGTTCTGTATCCCTGTTGCTGCCCCTGGGCGCCATAAATCGGTGTGGTTACGGACGAACTTTCTCGAACTGTTTTAGTATTACTACCAGGTCCCGAAGACCAAGCTTTGATTTTTCTATTATAATTTTCCTGCTCTTTGACTGGTTTTTGAGGGGGTGGGGGTGGGGGAGGTTCCTGTCGGAATAATTGTGGAGGCTGTCGTTGCTGCGCTAGCCATTGTTGCTCTTCTTGCTGTTGTTGCACCCATTGTTGTTGCATTCGTCTAGTAGATCCTAAAAATTTAGAAAAAAAATTCAAGTTCAGTTTAAAACAGGTCCAAAAAAGTCAAATAGTACTTCAATTTAACGCAAAGGCATGCATGTGCCTTGTGTTTCAGCCTCTCATTAATTAACTGTACATTTATAATTTCTTAAATATATGTTGTCGAGGAAAAAGTACAATAAATTTTCCCCACTAAGTACTGTGATGCATGCTGCTGCGATTATGCTGATAGTTACAGAATATTACATAACTGCATCAAAACGCATTATAGATAAGATCAAGAAGATATTTCTTTGCATTCTATTGAGCAGTCGTCTACCAGAAGCAATGCTATCCTCCACTATTTGTCTTGCAGCCAGCAACTATACCTCTTACCTATCGGCATAACACTCTATCAGAAATCTTATATTTGTTACATCAATACAAACACATAATGTCTATAGTCATACAGTGCATTGCTTCTACACGCTTGAGTTCTCGCCTTTAAGTCGATATGGGTTAGAATTAGAGGGAGTACAAGGAGAAATTGGAGGGAACAATTTTACTTGAAAGATAATGTAGGATTGCAATTTGTCTCGATATCAAATCTATAAATCTATCGGTTAGAATCTGTATGGTAATGGATCAGTCATACTTACACGCGACGGGAACCTGTGTTTCAAAAAATATATATGCATGGGTATTTTCAATTAATTTTGTATGAAATCATCTCGACTTTATCTTTGCAAAGTAGAAATTTATGCAACAGAGGATGGTATCTTTTTTTTGTTTGTATCACTCATAATTATTGATAAGCAAATATTGTCAAAATTTGTTTACTCGCACCTTTCAACTGCTATGCGAAATATTTCAAATTTGCCTTAACTTTGATAAGATATTTATTAGTTTCGAGAACCGATCTAAGCACAAATAAACTACCACACTAGGGGTGCTGAAATTTTGATAAGAGGAATAATAATGACCTCTTGTTTTGTAAACATAAATTCCTTAGTATCCAAGAAAAACAATTCGAATAAAATTCGCTAAAATAAGTAACTTAAAAAAACTCACACAAAGCAGTTTCTTACCGTCTCTCTGATCTCCGGTGTTCCATCCCTTGGCTAGTCTATTATAGTTGGGACCTGTAATCAATTTTGGTTGTTCGTCAGCTCTGAGAGAAATGTGCGTCTGTTTTGTCTGAGTTTGAGTTTGCTGGTAGGGGACAGATACAGGTTGTACCACGGGTTGATACTGTGGTGGCTGAAACTGCGGCACGGACTTTGGTCGAGGTTTAGATCGACTGTCCAAGTGGTCGAAAGCCTTGTCTACGTACCCCAAGGGATTCTCCATGGCTGCCTCCCACGGTGAGACAGCTGGTTTAGGAGATGTGACCGTCAAAATTTCGTTAAGGCGGGGTTGAGGCGCTGGCTTTTGAGCATTGCTTTCGTCGATGACCCATTTCTCGGACCTAGCGGCTCTTTTCTGAAACAATTTAGCTCCCCTGTTTCTAGTAGACTGCAAATCAGCCACCAGACTTTGACACTGAGTTGGTGACACGGATGAGTGATCAACTTTATTCGAGCTCAGTCGAAGTCTCTCAAACTCGTCCTTTGACAAACTCATTTTGTGATCGTCGTTATAATTAACTCGACTAGCAAGATTAGGTATACGAAACTGGAAAAGAGGCTTATTTCCTCCCTCGGATTCACTTAGTTCGCTATCAAGGTCACGCAGATCAGCTACATCCCCCGCCGAAGATGACCCGTGGTACAACACCCCATCGTGGATCCACTTGCTTGACTTGCGTTTGCGCTTTGCAAACATCCTCGCACCGCGAGCGCGTCGATTGGCCGCCGAAGTCAGCGACTTTGCTATTTTTTTGCAAAGGTCCACTTGCTCTTCGACTGTTGGGTAATGCGCAGTAGGGTCATCATAAAAGGCAGAATCGGAGAAGATTTTTTCTGGAAAAAAAATATTAAATACAGTTTTAATTAGCATAGAAATGTCGTAAACTCTAGCTTGCACCCCTTGGCAAATGGAATATCCCGTCCGGTTTATCAAGGTAACACCGTTTGGATGACAAGGATAATTAAGTCAATACGTTACCTCTTGGTTATGTTCCAATATCATATGCTTTGTAAATACCATAATAAACGCACAAATATCACATATATTAAGGAGAGATAAAGAATGCTGTTCAAATCTAATTTTAAATAATTTTTCTTTTCAAAAAATCCCAGGTTGGCATGTAATGAAAGTCGTAGGATTGCTAAACAACAAAGCCAGGATAAAATAGTTCTTTTGTCAGAAGTGCTCATTACGATAACGAATTGGGAATTTTCCATCTGTAAGCGATTTTAGTCTTCAGGGGTAATTAGTGAGATCCCGATAGACATCAGTATACATTGTGCCTACATGTATATACATCGCATATGCTCGATAAAGGGATGTGACATTTTGATAGAGAAGAAAATATCAGAATAGGATATGGGTTTTCATATTTAAGAACAAGGTATTTTCCAGAGACAATACCGCGCACTTTTTGATTCTAATTTTAGATAATTATATCACAAAAAACAAAATTCACTCAATGAATTTGTTTCAGCTTTAATATAGAAAATAACACAAAAAGCAAATAATTTACAAATTTATAGGAATAATAGAAGCGAATCAGAGAAAAAGAACTGTGTCAGGTACAATTCTATGAAGTCTCCAGATATTTGAGGATTGCATGAACTAACGATCGTAAAACAGTAAGTGACCAAAATCTGATATATTTCGCAGAATTTTGTTTTTATTTTCGCCCATTATATATACGTTAAGGTAGATGATAATTTCCTAGGAAACATATGATTTATTGATAGATACGATAGGTTAAATCTCAGTTTATCCTTCAGATGAAAACAGAGGTTATCCAAATACACAGGATCAATTATGTTTATGAATGGCTTTACTGTTTGGTATTTGGCGAACTATAGTAATACCAATTCATTGCTTAATTTACTAGCATCCAAGGGTTGTTAATCCTCGCTAATGTAATGCACTTTATGAATTACGTATTTATTGACATAATGTATATATAAAAGTAAAGGAATAGATTATAAGAATAATAAGTACAGAGTTATGCATTTGGTTAGTGCGATTAATAATAAATATATATTGTCTGTGACAAGGTTCACGATGAAAAACCAAGAATTAGGAAATTGGTTATTTGATAAGATACATATAATCCCTTTGAAAAGAGACGGATATTTTTATGTAAGAATGTTTCGTTATATACATTTATGTGATAAAGAAACATCAACAGAAGCTTTGTTTGCAAAGGACGGAGGTACAGAAAACAATAGGCCCATGGACCACAACATTCACTTGAGCCACTTTGGGTCCTTCTGTTTTTCATCAGATTTTAAAAAAGATTTTTCCCTCTTTATTGCCATGCAAAATTTTGATCCCATTTTGTGTTGCATGCCACCCTAGCCCAAATAGATCATGACAGGCAAACTTGAATCCACATTATTCTTGAGAAGATTTTAAACTGTTTTCTCCTATTCATTCCATATAAAAATTTGATCCTCTGTGGTCTCCCCACTCTACCCCAAGGATCTGGGATTTGAAAAGAAATGAATCTGAGGATACTTACATATTAATATAATAAATTGAGGCTTTGGCGTGCTCAACACTACCCAACGGGCCATGACTTGAGCAAACCTGAATGTGACTACCTAAGGATGCTTGCATATTGATGAGACTAACCATTGCCATGCTGTTCCTGAGAAGAAGGTATTAGATTTCTCCTATATATTCCAATATAAAACTTCTAAGCCCTATTCAACCCCACCCTACACCAGATTTTTTTCTCTATATATTAACATGTAAAACTTTGAACCCCTATTGTAGCCAAATCCTACCCCAGGGGCCTTAATTTGAAAAAAAAATGATCCTGCAATATCTGAGGATACTTGCATATAAATATGATAAATCATAGCTTTAGCGTTCTTAGGAAGATAAAAAAATTTTCTCATTTATTCTTTAGTAAAACATTGAACTTTTATACGGGTCATGATATGAACAAACTTAAGTCTGTGTCTAGAAGCTTTCAGTTAAGTTTCATATCTTGAGAAGGTTTTTCAGCAACCCCATCACATTTTTGTCTTTTCTTGGTTATCCCTCCTTGAAAGAGGATGTGGCCCTTCATTTAAATAAATCTGAATCCCCTTTACCCGAGGATGCTTTGTGCAAGTTTTGTTGAAAATGGCCCAGTGGTTCTGATTGATTGATTGATTGTATATTGTTTTACGTCCCATTCGAGAATTTTTCACTCATATAGAGACGTCACCATATACCGGTGAAGGGCTTCAAATTTTGACCTTTACTCGGCACTCAGGGCCATTGAGCAGTGAGGGATCTTTATCGTGCCACGGGGCCTCGGTTTTTAAGGTCTCATCCGAAAGACCCGCAACTTTCACTCCAAAGTGCCGAGCGCATGGCGAAGGAACAGTTGCTACCTATTTTTTATCGACTTAGGTCTGTCGCGGCCGAGATTCGAACTCACGACCTCCCGATCACGGAGCGAGCGCTCTACCGACTGAGCTACCGTGAACGGTACCAGTGGTTCTGAAGAAGAGGACGGAAATGCAAGGCGGACAGATAGACGAACAGGGAGCTTATTCACAAATTCCGCAGTCAAACGGCGGACAACAGGTGATGAGAAAAGCTCGTGTGAGGCTCCAGTACAGATGCACTAAAATAAAATTTCCATGAACTTGAACCCCCTCCCCTCCCCCCAAAAAGCACACATCAAACAAAACAAAACAATAAATGAAACAAAAAACAAAGAATTTTAATTGAATATAAACCAAATTTAGTAACTGTATGGATCGAAATAAATGTCTGAACGTCAAACCAAGTCAATATTAAAAAGATTACTTACTTCTTCTTCGGGCGCCCGTTGATCCTGTGTCCGGAGTTCCGGGAATATCGCTCTCCAAACTGTAAGTCCGGGTAAGGTCAAGGTTAGGTAGATGTTGGGGTCGTGGGCCACTCCCTGGAGTCATGAGTGATTCGTCATATCCGCTATCCATGATGTTTTTGTCTTCATGTTCCAGTTCCGGTTCAATTTCAACTGGTGGAGCAAATATGGGAAGATGTTTGTGACCGTGAATATCGTAATATTCATGGTCGACTTCATCTGCGTCTTCATCTCTATGTTGATGACTAATCAATTCCTTAACAGCATCAAACGTCGGTCTTGGTACAGGAAACATCAGTGGTTCATTTTCCACATTTCGGCTCCTAGGAAGCGGTTCGGGTGCAGGAGGTGCTAACGGTACCCCGGTTTCATGAGACTGGTACTCCACTGGTTGCAGCACTGGGTCTGGTTCCATGTACACTGGTTCTGGTTCAAATTTTACCTGTGTTTCTTCTCCAGAAACACGCGGCTGAAACTTTGAAACGCGGAACATTGGTATATTTGCGTTGTTTTCTTGCAGTGGTTGCGGTTCCGGAGCTGGCGCCTGAACCGGAAACACTTTTCCAGCGGGAGGGTTACTCAGTACATCCTTCACATTAGTTACTCGGAAATGAGGAACTGGACTGGACGCCGACTTCGGCTGGAATTCGGTAGGCAATGGTGACAGATTCTCCTTCATGGGTCTTTGTTGGTCTTGGATGTCTATGTACACCTGTTTTGGCATCTGCTGAGTCTGGTAATGGTTCATGGTCACCTGCTGATAGGGTTGCGAACTGACCAATTCCTTTTTGATGTATGTGTTTGACTTGAGTCCCCCTGGCTCTTTTTCTTGGTATTGGTGAGTGACTATTTTTCGAGTTTTGTCACCCTCTGGGATTACGTAGTTAGAGGAAGCAGACGATACGATGTTTTTGTCGGAAATTTGTGGTAGATTCAATGGCCGCTGTGGTTCTCTAACAGTCTTCTTTCCGTGTCTGAAAAAAGCATTTGGATTAATTTAAATGCAAGTTCGTTGCATTAAGGATACTATCATTTAATTTTTAATGCCACTGGTGTACTTCAAATAAAAATATTAAAAATTAATCCGCTTTTAAATGATTTCTTTTCAATGTTTTCAAAAATATCACACCTTTAAACATAAGGTAAAGAACTTATGACTACAATCCATAGACAGGATCCCCTTAATTTCATATCATTTAAACCCAACAAATAACTTTGCATACAAGTATGAACAAAAATTAGTATCCCAAGAATCTTTATCATACTGGAGCCGAAAATAAAGGAAGTAACATTGACGATTTTTTTACCTTTGACTTTAGTTTTCATATTTTGGAAAATAAATTTTATAAATCATTAATTGAAAATTTCCAATGTTTTACGTGATGAAAATACTTCAGTACAAGTACAGTTGTGCGCTTATGGTAACTAGCCAAGAGTAGGCATTTCTTCTGAAGATCTCGATAATAGGATGAAACTTTGATCAGAAATGTTCGCTTGAGTAATGGGTTTATTTGAGCTTAATACATGAAATATAACTCTACCTTTGGAGGTCGATGGAGAGTTTGTCTCCAGCGTTGTCCACCAGATGCATGACAGCTTCGTGGGTCTTCCCTTTAACGGGGATACCGTTCACACGTAGCAGAACATCTCCCTCCAGCAGCCCCCCTTCGTGGGATTTACTCTTTTTCCGAATCTGAAATTGAAGTGACAAATCTTCACATTCTCTGAAAAAATAAATTCGCAGATCACTGTACAATGCAAGTATAGAAGAGAATGTCGCAGGTTTGAGTTTTCGGTTTCCAGGTAGGATAGGCGGCAATAAAAATGTAGACGGATCTGGTCATATCAGAAACCTATTTTACTGGATGTACGCAACTTGTACATATAGATAGATCCATTAACAGTTTGTATTCTTGAGTTCAGAGTGATAAATTATTTAACACTTCATAAGATTGCATTTTATTGTGCAGTTGCGATGAGAGATTGTTCTTTGGTTTAAAGGTTATATACACAATCATCAGTAATGCTTTTAAAGGACGTTTTCTGTTCTTTTTTAAAAATATAATTAAGTATAAATGACACAAACAAAATATTTGATGCATGGGTTGGTATATATTTTTTGACTGAATTTGAATAGAAATGACATAAAAAGTAAATTTCTAGAATATAAAGAAATCCCAAAGTTTTGTTGTTGTTGTTTTGTTTTGTTTTTTTTTTTTTTTTGGTGTTCAAATATGCGACATTATGCCATTTTCTGTATAAGTAAGCGAATTTTTGCACATATGACATTTTTATGAAATCTTACAAAATGTCTACATTTACTCTGGATAACATTATCTAAATTATTTATACGAGCATAAATCTACTAGACATTGCTTATTTCTGGGGGAAAAAGTTTTTTAATTTGTTTGTGTTATTTATCCTTAAAGCGAATCGTGTTGAAGGACAGTAATTGCATGTAGCAACTCTTTTTATTTGAACAATGCATTCAGCTGACTTAGTGTTATTCTAATCTTGAATTTTTTTGGCGTCAATTTCGAATGATTTCAATAATACTTTTCTAGGGACTTGTTTGTTTGAAGGCACACTATCATGTTGTAAATTTTGAATTTACTGGGTGAGGTAAATGCAAAATTTACCACATGATAATACGATGTAAACATTTTCTGACCCACTGAAAATATGTACGAAGGGTTATCAAGTGAGATTGGCCAATTAGAAGTGACTTAGAGGTCTTGCAATAATGTTAACCATTTCAATTATTCAAAGGCTACATTTTCATATGAAAAATATGAGTTTATGTGATTGCTGTGTTCCCTTAGGTCCCTAAGATAATTTTTTTTCTAGTAAATAATTAATACATGTATACATGTAATTTTTTCTGTGATGTGATTTGTTAAAACATTTTTCTTTTCGATCAGAACGATCGATAATCATGTTCCAGTCAAAATCTTTACGAAATCTAAATTCTTGAAGTCAAGAAAGCTCTTAGCAGATTTGATAAGAATATGTAAACAGGTAAACAATATTGAACATCGACTCTCATCCGGCGCCCACACCTGGAAGGTATCCAAAAGCGACTCCAGAACTTACAGGCATCCATATCGTATGTAGATCCGAATTTTTCACGCAAACGTGTGAATCTAAATTAATGGGGTTTAGTATTATTGACTATTAGGATCTCTGTATTGCAGCTGTAACAATTCTAGTGCCCCTATGACGTCATACATCATGGGAAGAGCGATTAACCTTTAAATCAGAAAGAATGTACGTCCACATACACCTATTTATAAGACGTACACATCTTCTGCTTTATCGTCAACAATCATTGAATATTTTGGTTCTGAAACCCATAACATGCTAACAATGATATTTGCACCTATTAAATGAAATATGTGGAGATAACGAACAGTATTCGAGCTCAAAAGTCCATAAAACATTACAAAATAGGAGCAGAGCAAACACGGACCTCTAAGACATCAGAGGTGGGATCAGGTGCCATTGAGGAGTGAGGATCCCCTACCGACCGGTCACATCCGCCGTGTGCTCCTTGTCATGATCGGGAAATAACGGAAAAATCGGTCGACAAATCAGTGTTTAAGTAATGGCCTAACAATTAGTATGAAAAAAGTCGGTCAGCATTTGACCTAATGATAGATTGTATTTGCTGACATGGTCATTTTATCGACCATAGAACTTACGAAATGATGACTTTAAACGAGACTGCTGATATTCTTGTTTCATCAACTTGTTTGTCAATAACTTACCTCGTTTTAGAAATTGTTCAAACGTAGAGCATGCTCTTGCGTATCGAATCAACTGAGAGATATAAACTCCGTATGCAGGTGATAAGGTATATTGCTGCATAGGTAAGGGAAGTTGACGATTGAAAAGTTAAAGTCATCACATTTATCATAAAGCTTTGTTGTTGGATTACCATTAACGTCTTTTTGTAATAAAATATCCAAATATGAAACAGATGTGTCAGACTATGTGGTATCTTTTATCTCAAGCTCACCGGGATATATCGTGTCGACATAAGAATGGGAATAACCATTGTTAAATGTACAATTATTCGTATTCATTCATTTTTATGCCTTTTGCAAAGAGTCAACTAGATGATTTATAAATACCCAAAATCACTATGTAGTATTTCATGATTAATTCATCATTTGCTCTGAATGAGAAGGTTGTGCTTGTCGGTTTCGAACCACGATGGCATGTAGTTATATTCAGCGACCTTCACGCTTGTTAATGTAACCTTGACAGGAAGTTAGCTAACCCACTGATTGGCTCATTACGGTGTTTGTTGCATAAAATTGCCAAAAGGTAGATGACTTTCCAACATGCTGTTTGTTTCTAGTACATCACATCGGTCAATGCTGCTGGAATATAAAAACGATTCCGTCATTGAGCGTGTCTTCTTTTGTTGTTACCTAACAGTGCACGTGATTACTCTAACACATGTCTCATGCAGAGATGCAAACGGATTCGCATCTTGAATTTGCACGCACACATGTCATTTCATTTAGTATTGTGTAATAATTGCTAATTATCAATATGACAATAGAAAATATTTCATGAACAGGAACATCAACCGCTTTCTAAAGTCAGTCGACTGAAAATTCTTTGAAGAAAGCCAGATAAAAACTTGAGGAGATTGTTCTAAATTGGTCGAATTAGTTAAGAAGCTAATATGTTCGAACTGTAGCGATAAATTTTATGTATTGTGGATCTGGATTTATCGCAAATTTTGTTTATGGAAATGGAATTTGTCTGATATGCCAACATTTTACCAGAACCTCCTACAATTGGGAGGGAGTTTTGTTTCTAATGGAGGCAGCTAACGTGTTTTTGTCATGCATATTACTCCACCTTCCTTATCACAAACATGCTGAAAATCACGACATGTCAATTCTTAATCATTCATTCTTCTTTGTGCAACCCTTACAACTGCACAACTTACAACTGTTTTGATGATAGATTATCAAAATTGGCAGCCCCCTTTTCTGGTTTTTCAAGAAGTAAACAACTTTGATGTTAAACAAACTCGCATTTTCGTGATTTTGCAAACAGAAAACAGCACACTCTAGCTGTTGCTTAGTAAGATGTTTTTTGAGCCTTGCTGCCACGATTGTGTTATACAGGTTTAAAAACTAAAGCAAAGAATGTTTCAAGCTATCGGAAGTTAGCAAAATCTGTCAGATACATTGTCTAAACAAAAGGCGCAATAATTGCCAATAAAAATGACGATTACCAGCTTTTTACTATTCGAGAACAAACGTCTGCGCATAGTGAATACATGGTTGAAAAGTTCAGGTACTTTGTTTCATCTCGGTCAATAAGTCATACAAAATAACAAAACAAGAAAAAAAAAATAACGATAAACCTTGCCTAAGTCTTTTCTTTCGTTTAAGAAGTTCAGGAAAAATTCTTTTAGTTTTGTAATGGTAAACTTTTATTATATTGCTACTTAATGTTCTTTGCAGTGGGTTTAATCAACATATAATTTCGTAAATTGACTGTGATACATCTCCTTTGAGGTTGCTGTCATTGTTAACAGCGAGTGGTAGACATGAACATGACCTTGTAAGTTGTACTCACACGGATGAATACTTATACTGTTATTTTGAGCAGAATGATCTCGTAGATAATCTTCAAAGAAGATGCTCGTGAAAATAGTAAAAACAATGCGAAACTAGCATATTAACAACCTGTTGAAAAACTACTTTGTATATGCATGCTATTACCTTGGCAACTTCAATTGGGAAGTCTTCTCCTCCAAACAGACGAAACCCCCAAGGTGCCCCTCCCGTGAGGGTGACATTCAAAATATCTCCACTGCCCATGATTGGCAACGTGATCAAAAATTGTCAAAAACAGTTCCAAAATCACTGCCTCATCATCAGTTCAATGTAGGGATCTGAAAAATACATAGTGATCAACATAAAGAGACAAATCCATCCGCTAGACAGCTTTTGGCTTATATACAGGGTTTACAGACGTCTAGAGAAAATCTAGGAGGCGAATTGAATCAAATTTTATCTTTTCTCACTCCCGATATTTCCAAGATATAGGAATCATTTCCAGCAACCCCTGGAACTGTAATGAAGAGTTATCAACACTGTGTGAAGCTTGCTTTCGTGCACCTAGAGTAGATTTTTTGTAGTTTTTTTTTTATATTTGTTTACATCATGGAGATGGAAAGATACTAACAAAATCTCGGAGTAAATCGATCTTTAAGTTGATAAATTTTAACACTTATCTTGTTTACCGAAAGAAAAAAAACAAATCATGAAAAGAGTTGTATACTTTTACGTAACTGTTCATTTCCCCTTTTTTAAGTGTATAAACAGAGATTATGAAACTGAGAAACCATTATGTACGTAGAAAACTGTGATGTACATCGCATTTGTAGTTTTACCGGGGAGTCGTGTTGGTGGAGGGGGTCTTTTTCTTCAAGGTTTTAAGTGAGGGAACATTAACTCAATATAATTCGATATAATATATGTTAATCATATACGGTACCAATTATGATGCACCAGATGCGCATTTCTACAAATTATGTCTCTTCAATATATTTCATGTATCCATAATTCTTTTCTCTATTTCTTCGGAAGGTTTGATAAACAAGAATGATAATTTATTAGTGTAATTAAAAAAGCCTTATAAATATATACTTATTTAGCATATAAGAAATTCAGTAAATAAAAAATGCTTGCAAACCATTTTCCCCCAAAATTAAACTATTACTTGATAAACTGTCTTCGATCTCAATTTATAGTGTATCAAGCAGTCAAACAACCAGGAGCAAAGAACGATAAAACAATGGAGAAGCAATGCTCGTAGGATGGTTAAGAATTGGGTGAAAATGGATCGACCTTGGATTCCAATAGAGACATATGGCATATCTTTAGGTTTATTTCTGTTAGATTGGCATACGGGTTCTTTTATGTGATAACCCAGGGCTATGGAACTATAAAATCTTTAGAATCATAATTGTGACCGAATGCATCAAGAGAGTTCCCCCATTGATAATAATATTAGCCGAATTTCTTGTCATACAAATACTAGAACGAATTATTTTGCACTTATTCACAATTCATACGTGCTGTATATAATTTTGCATTATATTCAGCAATTTAATGCAAGTTCTTAGTGTCATGCAAAATCATAAGGCGCAATTTTGTACTGAATTTTCTACAATTTCAGAATTTCCAAATCAAGTGGAAATTCTGATAAAGTTCTTGTGACTTTTAGCGAATTGATGAAAATTCTCCCCTTGGACTTTATAATAAACATAACAAGAGGTCCAAGGGCCTTAACGGTCACCTGAGTATAAAACAACAATCCATAGAGGATCCAAGAAATATAAATTGAAAGCTTTAAAAAAAAAAGGTTATACAATATAAATTAATTTTTATCCAATTAAATGACATGTTACAACCAAAATTAAATTATATGTTATTTTAATGACTTATCATTGTTTTGTTGTTTTTGAGAAGATTTTTAAATGATCTTTCCTATAAATTCCTAACTAAAACACTTTGATCATCTATTGTGCCCCCTCCCTACCCCATGGGGTCAAGATATGAACAAATTTGAATTAACATTACCCAGAGATGCTTGCATATAAATAAGGCAAATCATGGCTTTGCTATTCTTGAGAAGAAGATTGTTAAAGATTTTCCATATGTATTCATGTGTAAATCTTTGATCATCCATTGTGGCCCAACTCCAGAGTCATGATTTCAACAAACTTGAATCTATACTATCTGAGGATGCTTCCATGTAAATATAACCAATCATAGTTTTGCTGTTTTTGAGAAAATAATTTTTTCAAGATTTTCCATATGTATTCCAATGTAAAACTTTCATTGTCCATTGTGGCCCTACCCTACCCCCGGGGATCATGATTTTAAAAAAATTAACTTGAATCTACACTACCAGAAGATGTTTCCACATAACTTTCAACTTTCTTGGCCTAGTAGTTCTGGATAAGAAGATTTTTCCAATGTATTTCCATGTAAAATTTTGATCATTCATTGTGGCCCCGCCCTATCCCAGGGGGTCATGATTTGAACAAACTTGAATCTACACTACCTGAGGATGTTTGCACATAAGTTTCATCTTTCTTGGCCCAATGGTTCTGGAGAAGAAGACTTTTAAAGATTTCTCCTATGTATTCATATGTAAAACTTAGATCGTCTATTGTGACCCCACCCTACCCCCGGGGGTCATGATTTGAACAAACTTAAATCTACATTATCTGAGGATTTTTCCATATCAGTTTAATCTTTCTTGGCCCTGTGGTTCTTGAGAAGAAGATTTTTAAAAGATGCCATTAATTTTTCACTAATTCTTAATTATCTCCCCTTGGAAAAAGGCTTGGCCCTTCATTTGAACAAACTTGAATCACCGTTACCCAAGGATACTTTGTGGCAAGTTTGGTTGAAATTGGCCAAGTGGTTCTTGAAAAGAAGTCAAAAATGTGAAAAGTTTACGCACGAAGCACACCCGCACGACGACGGACGAAAACAGATAGCAATAGGTCACCTGAGTGACTCAGGTGACCTAAAAATACATATACTATACCAAGACAATAATTTTCATTTTTTATTATAAGGTCAGTATATAGCTTAAAGGGCATATTGCGTTTCTGAATATTTCAAAAATTAGGATTGCTGCAATGCATAATTGAAAATTTAGAAATCTGGTCGGTTATCATCCGACAGTTATTTTCTTTCAATTCTGATAGAATATTAAATATTACTACTGAAAATGCAAAATGAAACATTTCACTCGTAATTCAATACCCAGTTCTATGAAAGCAATCGAAATATCTGAAGCTCTGGTTTTTGGACATTAACAGATAAAAACAACAACAATATATCAGGATATGAGAACTCAACAGCAAGGTTTGGTACACGGATATGAGGCTTAAAAAGTTCGCGACTGTATCCAGGAATTCAGTGACTATGCATATGGAGCTGTGTCATGCCATAATTATATATTCCACTAAAGCTAAAAGTATTTTGCAGTCACTGTGTGAATTTTTATGCTGATGATTACAAGCATTTTAATTTCGCAGATTAAGGTATAATGTGAATAGTATCTTTTGTATAGTAGTGATTATTAATTAATTCTTTAAAATTATCCTTTTCAAAATACTCTTCCACTTCCCCATGGTGAGCGGGGGGGGGGGGGGGGCAACAGGTGTTCAGTACAACATTGCTAACCAAAGAAGTATTGTGAGAGGTAAAGTTAGAGTTTCCGAAATGCTACACATTGATTCGGAAATTAACCAATAAAATTTTCGGTAATGACGTGTTAATATTTTCCGTATTGCCATGAAAAATTTTCGGTAAAACAATATCGATTTTCGGTAACGCAAGACTATGATGAGGATACTCACTTTTCCAAAAATTCCTCTGAAACATTTCTGATTTAAAAAAGAAAATGTTGTGCAATGTACAATCTTAGTATTTACACCAGAAGTCTCTGATGAGACTGCAGCTCCACTGGTTTTAATTTAATAAACAAAAGTAGAGAAAGGTAGCTCTTAAAGTTGAACTCATGGCAACAGCAATAAATAAAATAATGATCCTATGTTAAGTCTCTTGCTGAATCAGGATTAATTGCAATAGAACAAAAACTGTAGCAGGAGAGTTTTACAAAAAATTCTATTTTTAGCAACCAGGGCAACGTCGCTCATCGAAATCAAAAACTGATATATAGGAATATGTATTCTTTGTATAGTCTACTTGCTCCCCCAGTTATATTAAAACCGGCCAAAAACTCTAGGAGGGGCAGTGTTTTGAAAGAATTTCACAGAAATTTATAGTTTTAGTAACCATGGCAACATCGTTCATCGAAATTAAAAACCGATAAATAGAAATATGCACCTTATAGTAGTCTACTTGTGTACAGTTATTTTTTGAAATAGGACTAAAACTGAAGGAAGAGTAGCGTTTTAAAAGAATTTTTATTTTTTAGTAACCATGGCAACACCGTTCACTGAAATCAAAAACCGATAAAAAGAATGATGTATCTTAGTGTAGTCTACCTGTGTACCAAGTTATATTAAAATCGGACTAAAACTGTAGGAAGAGTAGCATTTTGAAAGAATTCACAAAAATTTCTATTTTTAGTAACCATGGCAACATCGTTCGTCGAAATCAAAAATGCACAGAATTATAGATCTTATTGTAGTCTACTTATGTATCAAGTTATATTGAATTTGTACCAAAACTGTAGGAGGAGTAGATTTTTAAAAAAAATGTTTACAGACAGACAGACAGACGGAAGGACGACGGACACATTACTATACATTACTCACATAAGCTCTTCTAATCTCTGACCAGTAGAGCTATGAATAAAAAAGACGCGTATGATTGCTTTGCAGCAGTGAATATTTTTTTTGTTTTTTATTATTTTTCTTTTTTACAAATAATTTCAAACTGGTACTCACATTCAACCCCCCATAATGAAATTTTCAGAATACAGTAATGAACATGCAATCAACAACAGTTACACACGACAACTTAAGATTAGGATCTGATAAATTTTACTAGAAAGTTGAGGAATACATGCATTTGTGCCCGATGTACAGTGAAAACTGCACTATGCAGCCCTAGACATGTTACAAGTTTTTACCCTTGCAATATCTTTCTGCTAAGAACTACAGATGTACACACACAGAATTTCATAACATTTAAAAAAAAAAAAAAAACAAAAGGTCTATGGGCCTTGACAGTCACCTGAGTATCATGAATTTCTCATTTTCTAATGCTATGGTCTGATGTTTATGAGTAAACGTGTACTTTCGATATTTGATTGCCTCAACACGAGCCAGGGTTTTTCGAAAAGGGCTAAGTGTTAATCCATGCAAACAGCTGAAAGATGTCCATGAGTAAAGAAGAAAACTTGCAAAGATGATATATTAATTTTCCAAAGTATGGCCACCAAGTCCCACCCTGGAGCCTTAACCATGGGGCCAGGTCATGGATTTCATAATTTTGGTAGAGGACTAAGTGTATTATAATCATGGAAATAAATTGCCTGCTTATTGTCCGTGAGTAGAAAGCCGTAAGGTATTTTCAATATATGACTAACTAACCCAAGGGCCCGCCTCTTGGACACAGGGACCATTCATTGAAGCAAACAGTTTGTCTGATAGAAGGGTACTACCAGGTATGTCTTTTAAATAGACGACCAACTTTGCATTCCTTTGGTAAAGGGATATATTATATGCAATCATTGTAATCATATCGTCACTTCTTTGTCTACTAGATGTTCTTATGAGCTATCCTTAAAAAAAGAAGATTTTCAAAGACGTATAATAATTTTCAGTACACGACCAACTTAGTTCCACCCTGGGGCAATGAATTTTGGCTAAGCGGTTTTTATAATCATGTAAACAGTTTGCATGTTAAACGTCCAAGATAAGAGATTTTCAAAGAATCTAAGATGTAAGGTATTTTCAATTTTAGACCAGCTAAGACCCTCCTTTGGGCCTGAACCGAATAAATATCACAATTTTGGTTAAAGGATGAGTGCTCATTAAATCATGAAAATAGTTTTCCTGCTACTGTCAGTATATCTTTTTGAGTAAAGAAAATTTTATAAAATATAATACATTTTCAATATGTGACTAACTTAGCCCCTCCCTGGGGCCTCTACCCACGGGACATGAATTTCACATATTGATGTAGGACTCAATGCATACTTTAATCATGCAAGGTACAGTTTCACTGCTTAATACTGTATATACAAGAATGAAGAAGGAGATCTTTGAAGATTGTATCAATTTTGATGATTTTGACAACCCTCAGGCCCCAGGGAAGCAGAGGCCATGAAAATGAAATTTTTTGTTCTCCCATTATCAGTTGATGCTATAAACAAAAAAAAAATGGTTGAGACTGGTTCGGCCATTTCACAGAAGCAGCTGAAAATGTTCAAGATTGAAGTCAAACGACGCACGACAGCATGCAGAAAAGTCACCCGAGTGTTTATTGTATTTGTTTAGATAATATAAAGAGATAAAGAAAAAATATTTTTTTTAAAAAAATGATACTTTAGGAAATGCAGTATGGACATGTTTGTGTTTGTCTTGTGAATACACTATGGATCTATTGACAGTTGATGTTCAAAATAGAAATGTAAATGGCACTATGCTATTGTACTATTTTCAGCTTTTCTGTGTTGCAATATTCATGAAAAATGCCACTGGAACATTAAAACAATTTAAAATGCTGCAAACATGTTTTCTATCAAGTGATGTAAAACAATTAAGTCAACGACCTGCGAAATATTCATTTCAGTCTTAGCATGGGGAGAAGTAATTAGTAAGTGGAGAAATAACACATATAATTAAATCCCTCTGTGGTACAAAATTCATATGAAATTAACCTCATAGGTATATATACTTTCTTGTCACGTGGTATCAGCAGAACAGGTGCAAAATCACGAAAACTCAAAAGTGCAAAACATTCTGATGTAATTCAGTATATATATATCGTAGGCGTTCTAAATGTTTTTAAATGTTATGTTGGCATTTGCATTGGTTAATCGCCAATTATCATAACACAAGAATGTTTGTAAAATTGCAAAATATATGGAAAAAAAATTCGCTAAAGCATTTGCTGATACTGCAAATATATGACTTAAGATACCTGGAAATAGGGGGAATATCTTACCGAGAATATATATACATGTTATATCCGATAGCAAAACAAAAATGTAGTGCATTTAGACTCAAGAAAAAAAACTTCAACAAGTGTAAATACTGCTCCTTTGCATATATTATAAAAAGCCGCTTACTAAAATCCGTCGTATTAATAAAACAAAGAAAATACGCTTATGTGGTCAACCAATCTTGTATATAAAAAAAAAAGTCTGGTGTTTGTATTTTCCTCAGCTAATGAATGTGTTTTGTATCAAAATTAAAGGATGCTGCATTTGTCAACAAGATATTAAAAAAAAAATATGAATGTAATATATAAATGTACTTTAAAGATAAAATATAGACAGTGGTTTGGCGGAGGCAAGAATTATTTGGGGTAGGGGAAGGAAAAAGGGCAGGAAAAATAAAATAAATAGATAAATGATATAAAAATACGTTTTACCTTGAGATCACGTCTAAAATTTTAAAGAAGTCCATGCCTCAACATGCAATACTGAAACAGCATGATTCTACCATGTTAAGACATCGAGGGATCGTTTTTATTAATTTTCTTTAAGATATGACACTGACAATGTGCAATTTTTCACGGATTTTTTCCCCTTCAGTTTTGATTGTCAGTTAACATTATATTAATACATATCTACTGGAGGCAGTTGGTCTCCTTCAATGTCAGCTATCCCTATAGTCTCAAAGTGTGAACTTATCATGAACTCAGAAAATCATAAATGAAACACATTTTCATTAACTTTTTCTCCAGTTCTAGAAAATTTATAAAGAAAATCAAAGAAAGACAAACTAAGAATCAATCTTTTATTATTTTTGATAGTGTTTTCATCTGTACATCTTATTCTAAAATGATGTTCTGTAATCCTTCAAAACCATTGAATGTCAGAGAGGAAAATAATAAATGCCAATTTTTGTAACAAAAACCAACACCATTTTATGTAATATGCAAACATTTTAAATTCTCTAGAATTTTTAGGGCAATAAACCAAATCTGAATTGGAGGGGGGGGGGGGGTAGTCAAGTTTCATCTGCACAGAGAGTAAAATGGCGAAATTATATAATAATACACGGTAAACAGTACAAATCCCTTTGGTTTGGAACACAGAAGCAAAATATGTTTCGGATTAGAAGTGAGAGCACGGTATTAATTATCGCACGCGCACACGGCACGATACCACTTCTATCATAGATCAAGCGATAAATGACGGGGATATATGGGAAATATAAAGCCTAACCACTTGTACTTAGACATACAGATAACATTTTCAGACAATATTGCACAATGGATGATGAAGTTTGCGGTGCGGATCCAGCTACTTTCTCATGACAGTGTCTTCAAAAATCTTAGTAGAACTTCTTAATTGTAAAAATTGGATGCAAATATGTTGAAAAAAAAACAATTTCCTATTTTTTCTTTAAAATGATGAATTAGAAACTAGCTTACAGTTTCGAGAAATTATGGCACCATACTTCCTCAGCAAGAACATATTAAGAAAAAATTCGAAAAGTGCATAAGTAACCAAGCATAAATAATTTCATACAATAAAAAATCTCACACTCTAAAAAAGTGTAAAGTTACTAAGTAACAATCCATCATTCTAAAGACGTATCGTTGAGATATTTCGATCTGACATATGCTTACTGTGTATAGGGCTGATGCACTCCACATGTGCAAGTAATTGTCATCATGTATCTACTCGGAACATGCCAAATAAAAAAAAATGTCGAGGTCAGCACATCAAGATAACCTCATTATAAACCATCTTAGAATGCATGAATTAAAATAAGATTTTTTTGAAGAATTCATTCTTACATCTATATTGTCCACTGGAGCGATATGCACCGGTTTTCTTTGAAAGAAAAGGATGCTGTTGCCAATGGTGATTTGACATCTGCGTTGTCGTCTGCCAAATTGAAAGCTAGAGACGGGTTGAGACATAGAGAGATGAATGTTTGAAAACTCACTTACCACTCTGGGTAAATGTTGAAAAACCCACGTCGCATTACACTTTTGCGGCGACCTTTAGATCCAAAACGTCACTCGGGTAAACATGGTAAAGGGATGTACATGTATTCACTTTCTTTGCACACGCGCGTATGAGTTTCTTAGAGCAAGTAGTTCGCCAGGCGGATCAGATGCAGTTCGCTTTTTATTTACATATTCCAGAGATCGACTGGCATGGTGCGATAGGGAGCATATTATGTGTTCATACATGTGTTCTGGGGTGTTAATCAGAGGTACAAATTATTCCATATCAAAGAAAATCATATCTAGCGTTGTTGTGTACTTATTGTGGCGTGAAAAACAACTTTTGAAAAAGCTAACTTTTGATAAAAGGTGAAGAAGAATCATACTTTGCTCTAAATTCATGATTTTATTAAATTTTTAAAAGAAAAAAAATCCCCAAACACAAACCCAAGGGTCAAAATCCTTATCCGAGTGTCATTTCTTTCTCTCAGCAAAATGAACGTTTGTTACTCCTCCCGTTGAAAAAAAAAGATTTGATGAGACCCAGGCCATTGAATTTTGACTCTGAAATTTTGAAATAGAAGGGGTGCAGTTTTAGGATAGCATATACAGTGTATTATTACCGTGTTGTTTTATGTCAATTGTACGGTGGCATTGAAAACGGTGATATTTGCATTTTTTCTATACACTGTAAATATATACATACATTAAAAAGTACTTTTTGTTTTGTTTTTTTAGATCTTGTGTGTTTTTAATTTATTTGTTTGATTGAAAACCCAATGAACGTCATCTTGACCTTTTAAATGCATCAAAATACAATCTTTAATTTCAAGTTATATATTACTAGAGCTACTGTCAAAAAAGTGAGAATTATGCCCCCCCCCCCTTTTTCCTTGCCGAATTTCAAAACAGGTAGCATAGTATGGATTATCATGTAGACAACCCAAATTTATGCACTGTCATTATGGTTCATTGATACTCTGATGAGAGAGATAACTCCAATCTACACAAATGACTATTATTCCTTTCTAAAAGTGTCGAGATTACAGGCCATTTATGCAAAAATTTTGCCCCACAAGATATGTTGAAATTGTGTGCATTTCATTTATAAATAAAATTTCTTTTAGATAATCGTATAGGCGTTAAGGAAATTTTTTTTATATAAATGAGCAGAAGGTTGATGAACCTTAATTACACATTTGAAGATTTTTTTCTTCAATGCAGCAGTGCAAGGTTGCTACGCCTTTTCGTCAGTAGAAATACACAGAAAATCCTGTCAGGATTTCAGCATCAACCTCTATAGTCATGACGTCATGTAAGGATCTTTGATGTGTAACAAAGTTCAAGCAGTAGATTTAAAAATTTGCAATTTCCGCTTAATGTTGAACTGTATGACCATATAACAAGTATTTTAGGGGAATTTTCATGTCTCTGCTTGCATTAGAGCAGCTGGAGAACTACATGTAGGTTACAAAGGTAGTCAAACGACTCCGACGCGAAAAGAACAAGGTTCACTTAGGGCCTTTTTTGGCCCTGTGAATTTCAGAAAAACTGAAACTGCTTGGTTTTAGTCGACAATGCATTAAATATCATTTAGACCTTTGGTGACTGCGTATCTATCAAAAAGGACGTAATTTTCTGGCTAGCCAATGCATTATGACGTTATGAAATGCATTATTTTCCTCATTTCCTGAAAAATTCTACAAAATCAGCCAATTTTTAAAGGTATTTTTCGATATTTAATAAAGAGCGCAACCTCTGATCTAAAATATGCAACTATTAAATGATAGAATTATTTCTGAGGATTACAAAACATGCTTTATTTTTTAGATCAGAGGGTGCGCTCATATTATTTCTCTTCTGTGAAAGTACTCAAATATACTTGTTTTCCTTAAAATTCAAGAACACTGCAATTCCATGAAGCCTGTTTTCCAAGACCTTGGCTTTAAGGAGAATTTTTTTAATAGGAAATGAAAGCACCAAGTCTCTACTTTATCTTGATGTTAAAAATGGAACATAAAGTGTTAGTCCATAAATTGGTATATCTACAGGGCCATTTTATGCATAATGTGAACCTAGCTCTTTTTAAAAAATATTTTTTCATTAATCTATTTTTTTTTAACATTTACACTTTACTTAGAAAAAAGTACAAATAGTAGAGGTTATGCTTCAAACGTGCGTATATTTTGTTATTTTCAGGGTTGTTTCTCGCTCAAAACATGTGATTAATCCATAATTTTGGATTCCGTGGTTGAAAATAGACATTGCAAGGGTGTGAAAGAAACATTGCACATGTTCAGTACAGTTAAAGGCTATACACACACTCAAATAAAACTCCCGATTTCTTTCTGTTGTCACGATTTTAATACAAGGTCATTGTTGCAGTCTTTTAAAAGTAACTGTTTTGTGAGCTGAACTCTAGAAATCAAGTGACCAGTAACCGTTCACCGCTATCAATGGAAAGCGTCAGAGCTCTTACCGACTACTTATACACTTATGTAGATAAACAATTTTTCAGTCGTAACTGTTATTGCATTTTTGCATCAACATTAGATACATTGCAATGCATTACCGTTATAAGATCGGAAATTTCCTCACCCCTAACTCCAACTCCCCCATTCTGTTTTGAAATATTTTTAGAAATTTATTTTTAAGGTAACAAATTGAGGGAATTCATGGAATTTGGAGAGCATCTCGATATAAAGCTTGCAATTCCACTTGTTAACATTATTCATGTGTAAATGATTTTTTCAATCAAGTTATTTGAATACATTGGACACAAATCAAAGCCAGGTAAAAATCATGAGATGCCAAGATCAAACTGCGGCGTTATACTTACACCTCATTCAAACTGACATTATTTAACATTTTTTATGTTCACTCTAGAACAAATCATTTTAATTTGTGCACATATATTCATTAATTTCTTTGGTACAAGACCAAATTCTAAGAAAGAAATCAGAGAGAGAGATCGAGAGATCAATACATCTTAGCTTCTCACAATACACATAAAATTCCATATTATTTTTGACTAGTTTGAAGTTCTTTGTTATTATTGAAAATAACATTTCTCACTGAATGTACCGTAAAATGTATTTTAAAAAAATCATTTTGTTTACCTTTACTGACAATGCACGATTTATAAATATTAAAATATATTAACAGTAAATCTTTAACAGAATTGATTAAAAAAAATAAAATATAAAAAAAAGATCTGTACCTGTATAAAGGGTTTATTATACTGTAATTTTTGTAATCTTTGAACGGTATTTGTTTTGAAGGATGAACCCTCGCCGTCTCGTCACTGAGCCCTTGCATTAATATCAGCTTCATTCCAATGATCGTTGTACCTACGTCGTTCAAAGGGAGATCATTTGAGTACATCCAGAGTTACCTTATGCAAATTTCCCAAAAATACAGCTAAGCATTTGAGGGATAAGTATAAATTCGAGATTTCTAGAGGGTGGTGGTGGGATAATCTTCAGCTTGTTACAGGTTAGAAGGGCACATGCACCTACATGTATCTGCACATACATGCATAGTTCTGTTAATGGAAGCTGTGCACCAATGCGCTTCTTCAAATTAGTTGTACTCATTTTTAATTGCACATACAGCTCAGATTTATTTTAATAAAACCTCAGAAATTTTAATCTTTAGATATTTTCTTTGCTTCAAACTGTTGTGATAACTGTATAAATCAGAACTGTGTCTCAGTTTATTGTTTATAGGATAAGAATAGCTTAAGAAGACTTATTCTTTACAATCTTTCATTGACAATGCATTTTTGTAGGAATTCAGATATAGACATTGCAAGGGTGTGAAAGAAACATTGCACATGTTCAGTACAGTTAAAGGCTATACACACACTCAAATAAAACTCCCGATTTCTTTCTGTTGTCACGATTTTAATACAAGGTCATTGTTGCAGTCTTTTAAAAGTAACTGTTTTGTGAGCTGAACTCTAGACATCACGTGACCAGTACCCGTTCACCGCTATCAATGGCTATCAATGGAAAGCGTCAGAGCTCTTACCGACTACTTATACACTTATGTAGATAAACAATTTTTCAGTCGTAACTGTTATTGCATTTTTGCATGAATATTAGATACATTGCAATGCATTACCTTTATAAGATCGGAAATTTCCTCACCCCTAACTCCAACTCCCCCATTCTGTTTTGAAATATTTTTAGAAATTTATTTTCAAGGTAACAAATTGAGGGAATTCATGGAATTTGGAGAGCATCTCGATATAAAGCTTGCAATTCCACTTGTTAACATTATTCATGTGTAAATGATTTTTTTCAATCAAGTTATTTGAATACATTGGACACAAATCAAAGCCAGGTAAAAATCATGAGATGCTAAGACCCAACTGCGGCGTTATACTTACACCTCATTCAAACTGACATTATTTAACATTTTTTATGTTCACTCTAGAACAAATCATTTTAATTTGTGCACATATATTCATTAATTTCTTTGGTACAAGACCAAATTCTAAGAAAGAAATCAGAGAGAGAGAGAGATAGAGAGAGAGAGAGATCGAGAGATCAATACATCTTAGCTTCTCACAATACACATAAAATTCCATATTATTTTTGACTAGTTTGAAGTTCTTTGTTATTATTGAAAATAACATTTCTCACTGAATGTACCGTAAAATGTATTTTTAAAAAATCATTTTGTTTACCTTTACTGACAATGCACGATTTATAAATATTAAAATATATTAACAGTAAATCTTTAACAGAATTGATTAAAAAAAATATATATATATAAAAAAAAGATCTGTACCTGTATAAAGGGTTTATTATACTGTAATTTTTGTAATCTTTGAACGGTATTTGTTTTGAAGGATGAACCCTCGCCGTCTCGTCACTGAGCCCTTGCATTAATATCAGCTTCATTCCAATGATCGTTGTACCTACGTCGTTCAAAGGGAGATCATTTGAGTACATCCAGAGTTACCTTATGCAAATTTCCCAAAAATACAGCTAAGCATTTGAGGGATAAGTATAAATTCGAGATTTCTAGAGGGTGGTGGTGGGATAATCTTCAGCTTGTTACAGGTTAGAAGGGCACATGCACCTACATGTATCTGCACATACATGCACCTACATGTATCTGCACATACATGCACCTACATGTATC